CTTCTTTGAGCAGCAGCCATGATAGTATTTGTAGAAAATAAAAAGAGATGCAACTTTACAATGATGGTAAAGAGGATCAAGCTTTGCAGATAGACTCGGTCCAACTAGGTGCATGCATTTTTGCAATGCATTTTTGAACTTTGTCTAGAAGAAAAAGAGCATCATTAGAAGAAACAGCCCAAATATGACAACAGTATTCCATACAGGGACAAATAAGAAATTTGTAGAGGTAGAGAATAGAATCAGGAGAGAGAAAATGGCAAGTAAAACAAAGAGAAGCAACCTTAGCATATGCTAATTTAGCGATCCATTTTATATATGGTTTCAATGAAAGGTCAGTTGTAAATGATAATCCAAGAAGACGTAAAGAAGAGGACTCAGTGAGAGGGTTGCCATTTATCAATATAGGAATGTCAACAGTACTGCAATAGTTGTTTGCAGTAAATAACTGGGTTTTGTTGGAATTAAAACTTACAAGCCACAGTGAGCTTATGTAGAAGACCAGCATGCCAAATATTGTTGAAAGCCTTGTTAAGAGCAATTGCCCTAGCCTCACTGTCTTCATCTAATGCACAATAAAATCTTTCAGTCACAACAGTTAGCGAGTCAGCCGTAGAGCAAGAGGATCAAAAACCGCATTGATTATCAGACAGTAAGTTATTTGACTCAAGATGGAATATAAGAAATTTGTTTATCAAAGACTCGAAGACCTTGCTAATAACAGAAAGAAGACTGATTGAACAATAATTGGAGGGTTAGAATGTTCACCAGAGTTTTAAAAATTGGAACAAAAGATGCCATTTTCCACGAGGCAGGAAAACAAGACTCAGTCAAGCACTTATTAAATAGTTTAGATAAAATTGAAGAGAGTTCTGGAGAACAGTTTTGAAAGACTGTGACAGGATTGTTGTCTGGACCACAAGCCGTAGAAGAGTTAAATCGAGATATGACTTTAGCAACAGAAGCTGGAGTGATTTGAATGTCTAACAATGGGTTAACCTGTTTAATTGAAATGGGAGGAAGAAAATGGCCATAAGATTCAAGAGTCAAATTAGAAGAGAAGTTCTTTGCAAATAGTTCAACTTTATCCTTGGGAGAGGTAATAAGATCAGTCCCATGAATATAAGATGGAATGTTAGACCTTTGTTAACGATGCTGTTGAAGATTTTCCAAAAGTCTCTGGAGCCTAACATCTGAGAAAAGATACAATTTCTTAAAATTGCCACTTTGCAAAAAATGATTTTTTACTTTTAAAAATTTATTAACAAACAAAAAATATTACTTGTTGCAATGAAAAAAAAATCAAGTTAATTACATTTGTAAGGCTTCCCAGGAAACGCATGCAATTTTTTGTCTTGTATGACCACATGCAATTATTTTATTTTAGGCAACTTGGTCATGGCCGTTTGCAAGTTTTATAATATCAATAATTGCGTAAAAAGTTTCAAAAACAAAAAAAACTAACAAAATAGGAAATAGAAAGAAATTTAGATAGAAAAAAATAAAAAGAAATTACTAATTTAAATAATTTGTGTACTGTTTTTTTTTTTTGTTTCTTTAGAGAGGTTGTTACATTCAGCAACAAAATTAGATAAGACGAAGCAAAAAAAAAAAAAAAAAAAAACAGTTTTAAGTCTACAATAAAAAGAAAGATTTTCCGAAAAAGTTATAAAAAATAAAACAATAAACTTAAAACTACAAAAGTAATAACACTCTAGTAACTAACTGCATTATAAAAGTAATAACACTATAATAGTGTTATTACTTTTATAACACACTTATAACTTTTATAATTCATTCTTTGTGTTATAAGTGCATTAAAAAAGTAATAACATTATTATAGTTTTATTACTTTTATAATGCAGTTAGTGACTAGAGTGTTATTACATTTGTAGATGTAAGTTTATTGTTTTGTTTTTTATAACTTTCTCCCTAACAAACTTATAATAATTTGCTCCTTGAAAAGAAAGTACATGGTTTTGTTTTTGAACTTTTTTCAGCAACACATATAATAAAACTTGCAAACGGCTGTGACCAAGTTGTCTGCAATAAAATACTCATGCGTAAACATACAAGTTGAACCAGCAGGCGTTTCCTGGGAAGGAAACGCCTGCGGTTTTTTTTTATAAGTTTTTCAAAATCAAACTTATAAATAAATCAGTGAATGTTAAAAGGGCAGAAGTCTATATATGAAACTTTCGGGAAACTAAAAAAAACTGCATTTTCCTCGTAGTAAATTTTTGTTAATGATTTAATTTTTTTTTTTTGAATAGGATAATGTTTTTCACCTTCAAAAAAAAATTATTGAACCATTAACAAAAAAATACTATGGAGAAAAATGCAGTTTTTTTTAGTTGATCAAAAGTTTACATTATTGGACTTCTGCCCTTTTAACATTCACTGATTCAAAAATAAACATTAAAAGAGTTGTATTGCTTCAAGCGCAAATTAAGCAAAAAATAATAAAATTATATTTATAAAAGAAGTTTTTTTTTTTAATTATAAAAAACATTAACTTTTTATAAGATGTCATTTAAAGTTTGTTAACTTTAAATGACATCTTATAAAACAAAACAAACAAACAACAAATTAAAAAAATCAAAAGTAATATGAAATAAAATTTAACAAGTACTATTTTTTAACTAATAATTTTTTGTTTTCTTTTTTAATCTTTTAAAAAAATTCGGTAATTATTTTTGGATAATTGTCTAAATTATCCAAAAATAATTCAGAAATTGTCTAAATAATGGAAAAAAATATTGGGGTATACGATCAGGTGAACTCAAATGGATCGAAATTAAATCAACATAATTTACATATAAAAATTAAAAGAACCTCTGCATTAAACTTGGGTATCCAAAATGTTCAATCTGCCATGAAAAAATCTGCTATCATTCATGATATAGTGCAAAATTATTCTCTAGATATTTTTATACTCACTGAAACTTGGATAAAGTCGGACGACTCTACCGCAATTAAAGAAGATATGGCCCCACTAGGCTTTAAAACAATTTAGACCATCGTGGAGGAGGCGTTGCAATAGTTTATAGAGACAACTTAAATATCAAGTCACTCTCATTATCATCTACCTGTCTGTCTTATGAACGTACATCAGCTAAACTAAATCTGGCAAATACTATCTACAATATTGTTGCTATTTATCTATCAAACCCAATCATTCCAACAAACATTTTCTTTTTCGAATTATCTGAACTCCTAGAGGAACTTCAAACATTATCTGGAGAAATACTTCTGTGTGGTGACTTTAACTGTCCAGGTACTTCTCCAATAACCTGCAATTCAAGACTTAATGAGATTTTAGAGACTTACAACATGATACAACGAGTTCAATCTCAAACTTGCATATCATCTACTACTGGTATAGCCAACTTGCTTGATCTTGTAATAAATCGACATGATGATATTTCACTCAAGACTATCCAAGTAACTGACGAGGGTATTTCAGATCACTATATGATTCGGGTAGAACTTTATCATCAACCTTCAAATACTAAAACTGTTTGGTTTTCAAAACGAAACTTTAGAAAACTAAACTTGTCATGCTTTATAAAAGAATTGCAAGTGATGCCATGTTGCTTATCACCTGAAAACAATGTGGATGATTATGCTGAACAAATAAGATCAAATATAACAACTGTTCTTGATCATTTAGCACCCATTCGAAATTATTCAATGCAAATTGGTAAACACGATGATCAATGGTTATCTTCAGATGCCAAGAATAAAAAAATCAGACGCCGTAAACTGGAACGTTGTTATAGAAAAACTGGTAGTTTATCAGATAAAAAATTATATTGAACTGCATGCCGTGAGGCTGCAGCAGCAATTTATAAATCCAGATGTAGTCATTATAGGGCGAAACAAAATTTAGCATACGGTGATCAAAAAGAATTATTGAACATTGCCAAGAAATTCGGATAGTTCTAAAACTAATAACACAATACCAGAAGCAAAATGCAATATAATAAGTCAATATTTCATACGCAAACTCGAAATTATAAAGAACACTATGCAAGAAAGGCTTGCAAAAACTCCAATATCTAAATTTATCTCAGAGTTATCTCCCCCTGTAGATATTTTAACAACATTTGGTACAGTCACACCTAAAGATGTGTCGAAAATAATTAAAACTCTCAAACCTAAGACATCACCACTTGATATTATTTCAACAAACATCCTTAAATCTTGTTCAGAAATATTCAGTCCAATTATAGCTCACCTTGCTGACCTCTCATTCAAATCCGGAATTTTCCCAACCTCATATAAAGTTGCTCAAATAACGCCAATTCCCAAAAAATCAGGACTAGCAGAATTTGACCTAACAAATCTACGCCCCATATCAAATCTCAATACAATTTCGAAAATTCTTGAAAAGCTTGCTTTATCTCGTCTTCATCCACATGTAACATCATCTGTCAACTTCAATCCTCTACAATCTGGTTTTAGATCTTATCACTAAACCGAAACAGCACTCTTAAAGATATGCAATGACATCCTGCTAAACATTGATGATGGTTTGATCACTATTCTTCTATCTCTGGACATATCTTCAGCATTTGATACAATCGATCAAAGCCTGCTGATTACCCGTATTAAGAATTTGGTGTCACAGATATTGCATTAAAATGGCTAACATCATAGTTGCACTCTCGGAAATCTTTTGTTTCTATTGGATCATCAAGTTCTAGACTAATAGCAAGTTCAACAGGAGTACCACAGGGTAGTGTATTAGGCCCATTTCTATTTTCTATGTTTATTTCACCTATATATCCTGTTATAGCTAAATTTGGTACAAATCATCATCAATATGCTGATGATACCCAACTTTATACTTTCCTCAGCCCTGGCAAAGATAGCATCAATAAAATCACTGAGTGTGCTAATGCAGTAACAACATGGTTTCTAGAAAATGGACTTCTGCTTAATCCAAATAAAACAGAAGCTATTTTATTTGGATCTAGAAAACAAACTAGCAAATATAAAAATGATTTGAATATTGCGTTTTCTGGAACCACAATAACTACAATAAATTCAGTAAAAATCCTTGGAGTCATCCTAGATTCAAAGCTCTCTATGGACAAGCACATAAACAATATTATTAAATCCTGCAATTACCACATTCGTGCACTTCGCCACATTCGTCCATGTCTGACCAAAGAAGCTGCAAACATAATTGCTTGTGGCATTGTTAACTCTCAACTTGACTATTGTAACAGCATTTTATCTGGCATTTATCAAAAAAATATTAAAAAACTCCAACGAATTCAAAATAACTTATCTCATATTGTTTTCCATTCTCCTTTCCATTTAAAATCAGAAATATTGCTGAAATCTCTTCATTGGTTACCAATACATCAAAGAATAATCTATAAAATATCAGTTATCACATATAAAATTTTATTATCAAAATCTCCTGCATATTTATTTGAACTCCTAGAAGTCCGAACTTCAAAACAAAATACAAGATCATTAGACAGTTGCCAACTTACACGTCGTCAACAAAAAACCTCCTTAGGCTCAAAATCTTTTTGTATGACTGCACCTCGAATTTGGAATGGTTTATCTTTGAACACGCGAAACTCAAGTTCTATAGAAACATTCAAAAAAAGACTAAAATATGAACTTTTTATGAACTCTTTTTCAGACTCATAGTTTACTTGTTTAGTGCTTTTGAATTACTTCATCACTTTTGTGATTGTTGTAAATAATGGCACTTTAATCTCTAACTATTATTATTATTATTATTATTATTATTATTATTATTATTATTATTATTATTATTATTATTATTATTATTATTATTATTATATAATTTTGAAAATGCATACACTAAAATTTCATGAACTAAATTTTAAATGAGCGTTTAAAATAGTTTTGTTTATGACATGCTACTTTAATTCACTATCTTGACGAATTTATGACTTAAACTACATTAATTTTTTTTTTCACTTATAGATAACTATAGTTCTTATTTTATTATTGATTACAGTTCTATGATTATAGTTCTTATTCTATTATTGATTATATTTTTATGATTATAGTACTTATTTTGTTATTGTATAATAAAACAAAAATATTTAATATCAGGCTTGAACGGGAAGCAGGAGCGATCGCTCTCAATAACTGACCACAGAAATAATATTTTGATGCAAAAAACTGGCCAGATTTTTTAGTCATTTTGATACAATGTCCATAAAACAAAAAATTTTTGTTTTACAGACATACATGGAAAAATACTAACTTGAATGTTCAGACATACATGGTAACATACAAACTTGAATGTTCTCAAAACATCTTGGTGTGGAAGAATAAAAAGAATATTAGCAAACACTAAAAACCTGCCAAATCTACAAACAAACTAATTCTATTGGTTTAAAATATACGCTAACTAAGCAAAACAATGTTCTAGAGTATTCTATTCAAATGTTTTAAAAACTGTATTATTTAAGATTTTTTAAGTTTTGAGATTTCTAGCATTAATTGTTTTAAGAATATATTATCAAACGAACTATTAGTTTAATACTATGGCTCGTTCCACATCTGTAAATCCGTAAATCTTTTAAACTATTATCATTTGTTCACAAAAATAAATGTTTTAAATATATACTTTTTAAATTGTCAAAATGTTGAAATTTTATTATATATTATAGATTTTATTAATATATTCTTATTTTTTATTTAAAAAGTATGTATTTTTCATGTAAATCTATCTAGTTAAAATTCTAAAATTCTATCTAGCTAATTTAATATCTACAGTAACTCAATGATTTAATTATTTCATTTGTTCATCTTACTTAGAAGAATTGTTTTAAATATGTTAAACTACGCGAAGCAAAAATTAGCTATTAAAAAAATTAACTTTATTATTTATAAAATAATTTAGCCTAAACAAACTGAAACTAGAGTTAGTTTTTTTAAAACCTTGTTGGATTTTTCGGGGCCGGGGCTATTTTTATTTTGGAGGCCTTTTTTATGTGCCACAGCATAAAAATGACTGAAAAAAAAGACCTTCTTGACTATTTCGAGACCCTTAACATTGGGGGGTCCAGGGTTATAGCCCCCTCTAACCCCAACCTTTGTTAATCCAGCACTTTTTAGCCTGCCTTAACTAAAAACCTCAGTAGATCTATGCATATTCACAATATCTGTACTCACTGAACTTGCTTCTATAGAACAGTTTGATAAATAACTACTTAAACTACTTAAATAGGTATAAAAAATATAAGCAAAATAAAAAAAACGTATATTAGATGGGTCAAAAACTTTTATGCACATTTATAACTTATTGTAAAAATTACTTTTAAAATACCTCAGATGAGATGAGATCAAAAGAGAGCAACCTGAACTAGGATTGCTCCAAATCCATACTGGAAATCTTTTTTTAACATAGCTTTTAGCAATTTGTTCAATGTCATTATCTTCTAGAGAAGCAGGGCAAACAATAAACTTTGGCAGCGATTCATCAAGAGCAAACTTTTCATTGATATCAGTTACACGCCAGTTTTGTGATGCATGCAATCGGCTAATATTGAGCTCATAATCTTTTTTAGTTTTAAAAAAACAAAATGCACTACTATTACTTGTAACATAACTGTTACCATAATCAAATGCAAATAAACGAAAAACTGTTGTTGGAAAAGCATAATGGGATATCATTTGAAAACAAGAACGCTTATTCTGACTTCCTGAAGATTTAAAATCATACTGAACAATTCTAAAGTCTTTCGTTTCTATTTCAAGTATATCACACTGACTTGAAAGTTCTCTCATAGCATTCTTTAGTTTTTTACGCTTTTGTTTCATATTAGAAATACCATAAATATTACTGATGACAGTTAGTGGTATTAAATCATTATGATCAATTGGTTCTTCTAAATATTTTTCACTAAATCCAGATGTCTGTTTAGAAACACTTTTGACTGAACAGATAAATGCTAACTTAAAGTTTGTTATATACAAAGTCCCAGTTAAACTATTTAAACGATTTGATGTATCATAATATCGAACCACACTGGCTTGAGATAAAATTGTTTCACCCATAAACATCTGAAACACTGGTCTTTCAAAAGTGACAAGTGGTGCTGCACTAATATTTTTAGCAGCCATGCCATGAATATTCTAATTAAGATATCAAGGTAACTACATATGTTAATACATAACAATAAATAAAAATTATGTATATATAAATTGAGTGTAACCTACATTGTTGCGAACTATTTTTGTTAAGATTCATATATATATATATATATATATATATATATATATATATATATATATATATATATATATATATATATATATATATATATATATATATATATATATATATATATATATATATATATATATATATATATATTATATATATATATATATATATATATATATATATAAGATTCATGTATATATATATATATAATATATATATATATATATATATATATACATATATGTGCATATACATATATGTGTATATACATATATATATATATATATATACATATATATATATATATATATATATATATATATATATATATATATATATATATATATATATATATATATATATATATATATATAAATTAAACTGTGGTTTTAAAGAGCGCGTTAATAAGCCTGACCAGAAAATGTTGAAAAACTTCAAAAAAAAAATTTTTTTTTTTAAAATGATAGAATGCCTGCCCAAACCAAACCCTCAGTTGATGTAGCAGCACTCCCTTGCAAGTCAGGCTATTTGTCAGTCGATGTAGCAACACTCCCTTGCGAGTCAGGCTATTTGTCAGTCGATGTAGCAGCACTCCGTTGCGAGTCAGGGTGTAAGATAGTCGATGTAGCAACACTCCCTTGTAGCAGCAGGCTATAAGATAGTCAATGTAGCAACACTTATGCATGTTTTAAAAATGTTTTTTAATAAAACAAAAACAAAAACACCACTAATTAAAAAAAACTTTCTAGTCATTATTATTGAGGTTTTTTTAAAAACAATAAAATTTAATGTACTTCCGCATTAATTTAATTGCTTTGACATTTCGATGACAATAAAATGCAGCTTAAGAGACAAGGTAAAAAAATTGTAGTCGAAAGAGACTTTTTTTACCATAAAAGTCTCTTTCGACTACACTATAAGGATATATATATATATATATATATATATATATATATATATATATATATATATATATATATATATATATATATATATATATATATACGTATATATATATATATATATATATATATATATATATATATATATATATATATATATATATATATATATATATATATATATATATATATATACAGTGAGAACAGAATTTAATCGTACAAAGTAATTTTTCCATTTTATTTTGCTAAAACTTGTTTTTAACTTGAATAATATTGATAATAATTGAAACATTTTTTTTTTAATTTATTATGACTATTACTTATTTATAATTTTTTAGTTAATATATAAGAAAATGTGTTTACAATACAATTTTTGCTTTTTTTCTCAAACAGGTATTAAATTGCATGCACATAAATTAATTGTACAAAACTGTTTTATTGGTAATTTGTTATGAAAATGAATGATTATAATTTTTTTAATTTATAAAACATTAATTTTACTATTGACTTTGTATTTCTAGAACATTATTTTTAGCAGTTATTAAAATTTTGGAAGAAAAAGACATTAAAAAATCTGTTTATTGTACGGTATGGCACCCAAAGGTAAATACTTAAATACTACTCAACGAAAACTTGTTATAGACTTGGTTAAACAAGGAAATACTCATAGAAAAGTTGAAGAACTTACAAATATTCCATTAACAACAGTAGGAGCCATTGTAAAGAAATATCAACAATATGAAACTTTTGAAATTCATACTGGACGAGGGCGAAAACGGAAGACAAGTTCAAGAGATGATAGAGAAATTTTAAGAATGATAAAAAAAATCGGTTTGAAACTGCAAAAAATATAGCAAATCATTTGAAACACTTAACAGGAAACACAATATCATTTACATCAATTAGAAATCACATTCATAAAGCAGGGTTCAGTGGATGTATAGCTCGTAAAAAACCACTTTTAAAATAAAATCATATGAAGAGAAGAATGAACTTTGCAAAAAAGTATTATTCAATGCCTGTATCATTTTGGAAAATGTTCTTTGGTCTGATGAATCCAAATTTAACTTAAAAAAATCTAATGGTGCACAAAGAGTTTGGCGAAAGAGGGGTGAAGCTTTTCATTTAAGTTGCACACGAGGAACAGTTAAACATGGCGGTGGAAGTGTAATGTTATGGGGTTGTATGGCATGGAATGGTGTTGGTAAACTTGAGTTTATTGATGAAACTATGAATGCTGATTTGTATAAAAATATATTGAAACGAAGTTTAAAATCTTCTGCTAAAAAGCTTAGATTGGGAAATACTTTTTTGTTTCAACAAGACAATGATCCAAAACACACTGCTAAAAAAACTAAAAGCTTTCTCAATGAAAATGGCACAAACATTTTAGAATGGCCTTCGCAGAGCCCTGATTTGAATCCAATAGAGCATTTATGGACTTTATTAGATAAAAAATTAGGTACTAGATCATTTATAAAAAAAGAAGATTTGAAGAAAGCTGTTGTTAAATCATGGTCTAACATCGACAATAATCAAATTAAGTGTCTAGTAGAATCAATGCCAAAACGCTTGTTAGATGTAATTAAAGCAAAAGGAGGACCAACTAAATATTAAAGTATTTTATTAAAATATAAAAACTTGAAACTGTTTCTCAGTTATTTTAATAAACTGGCATATTTTCTTAGCTTTAACCTATAACGTTTTTTTTGTACAATTATTTTATGTGCTTGTGTTTTTATCGCTTTCTTTATTTTAGAATTCCTAATCAGGTAATTTAAATACTGAAATAAAAATTTTACTTTTTTTTTGAAGGTCTTTTAACAAATAAAAAATTAGAGAAAAAAAAAAGTCTTTATAATTAGTGCATGTTACAATATTTTATTCAAAGATGTTAATTTTATTGAAAAATTACTTTGTACGATTAAATTCTGTTCTCACTGTATATATATATATATATATATATATATATATATATATATATATATATATATATATATATATATATATATATATATATATATTCTTGCATGGTAGTCAGAAAGTTTTTCCCATAAACTGTAGTTTTAAAGAGCGCGTTAATAAGCCAGACCAGAAAATGTTTAAAAACTTAAATTTTTTTTTTTTCTTAAATGATAGACCGCCTGCCCAAACCAAATCTTCAGTCGATGTAGCAACACTCCCTTGCAAGTCAGGCTATAAGATAGTCGATGTAGCAACACTCCCTTGTAGCAGCAGGCTATAAGATAGTCAATGTAGCAACGCATAAAGACCTATGATGGTATAAAACAATTGTTGTAAAATAATAATATTTATATAGTTATTGTATAATAAAAATAATAACGAAAATTATTGTTGTAATTATTTTTATCATACAACAATTATTATCTAATAATTGTTGTATGATAAAAATAATAACGACAATAATTGTTGTTAATATAAATATTGTCATTATTATTTTTATTATACAACAATTAAATTGTCAAATACTGTTGTTATTATTTTTATTATATAACAATTATTAAATAATAATTGTTGTATAATAAAAATAATAACGACAATAATTATACTAATAATAAAAGTAATGATATTAGTTATTATGAGCTATTCATAACAGTAGTAATAATAAATATTATGATATCAAACATGATATTTTATTAATTTATATTATTTAGTATTACAAATTGATAAAACATCACTTTTTTATGATTAATATAAAAGGAAATGAAATAAGTGTTAATACCTGTATTGTATATTTTTAAGATCCCAATAATTGTATGCATTACCCCACAAAAATGTTCAATAATAGTATAAACTTATTGCAATAGAGTATATTATTTTAATATTGAATCATCATACATCATTAAACACACTTTTTTGAAAGTATTTTTTAAAGTTTCTGTAAACTAAATCATGATTTATTTGATTCAATTTTCCAAAACTTTATAAAAACTTTATTCTTGAACATTCAAATAACATATAATTTATGAGAGTTAATAGAATTGAGTTCAAATAACTTATAAAAATTCATAAGAACAATTCAAATTCATAAGAACAATTCAAATATCATTTTATCATACGATTTTTTTGTTTCTAATGTTTAAAAACATGTAAGCTCAGGAGAATTAATTTTTAAACTTATTTATAGAAGTTTTTAAATCGTTGCTTACTATATTCGGATATTATAAAGTATACGACTTAGTATAACAAGAGAATAATAGGAATAGAAACGTACGGTATACATACCCTATTTGTATAATTATAATACTTAGTGTTAGTTTAAATTAAACTTTTATAACGGCATTTCGAGCGTATACATCGCACAGTGGGCCAGAGATGAGCAAAACCCACTTTTATATTAGATTAATTTCTTTTTGTAAATGTAATCTAGAGACCCCCAGCACTCTAAAACTGATATAATTCTTTCCCTACTATATCTTTTAAGCTCAGTAAATCAATTTTACTACAAAAATGGCAAAATTTTATTTTTCAAATATCGATGAAAATGAAAAAAATCATATAAAAGATAATTATGAGGGCAGCAAGACAATTTTACAACATTTTAATTTCTTAAAAGTTTATATTAGTCTATTGACATCATGTATTGAAATAAGAAGAAGAAATATGAAAATTTATTTTTATACTTGCTTTTTTTCAATGTGTTTTCCAATAAAACCCTTTAAAATGCGCAACATTTTTTTTTAACACTTACCTTTAAACTTACCCCAACCAAAAAACACGAGACTGCAAATGCAATCTAATTTAAATTACACTCTAATTTATAGATAAAAATTTACAACCAAATTTTCTGAGCTTAGCTGAGCGCATTAGGTGCTAGGCTTTTTATTATAAATGTAGACTTTGCTTTAAAAGCTAAAGAAGACGAATAAAGAACAGTTTCAATCATTTAAACCTTGTTAACATCTTTTTTAAACAGCATTTTTAATGTTGTGAAAATTTATGGAATTTTCACAACATTGAAAAAAAATATTTTTTTAAAAGATCATTATTTGACATAAGTATAAACATACAAATGTTTGGAGTTTGCTCCATGCAGGGTTCTTTGTAATGTCAACAATAGATATTTGGTGTTAAAGTTTTTAATATCCAATTATAGTAGCCATGGCTAGTTACGTGGATTTGCACTATCCCCAACGATATGCTATCATACATATGTATAATTGCATATCCTTTTAAAATGATTTATTTCTTAATGATGCATACAGATGGGAAATAGGCTGTAGACCCTTTAAATATATTTGATAGAGAAGGCTTTTCAGGAGTTTCCAGGAGTAATAAGTAAAGGCTTCTTCAAGAAATTAAGATGCATAATTTTTTTCATAAATTCGTCTTGTTTGACATCATTTTCGTTAACCTGCAGCAATGAAGCCAAAGAAAAATGTTACGAGCTTTTATCTCTAAAGAATCTGGTTCAACCAGATAAAGGAGAATCTTAAAGAATCTTAACAATGTAGAAATCTTAATTGAATGTTTGAAATAAAATAATTAAGAGCAATGCTGAAGATATTTACCATAAATTGTTGCTCGGGGCTCTCACAGCAGAAAATTTTATTTACAGGCTCATCGTTATATTGTTTTTCTCTTTTCTTAAGTTTTGTTAAAATTCAATTTCAAGCCAAGAAGACCTGTAATAGTACTTACTTCAGCCAATATATTATTTTATGATGAAAGGATAAAGCCAAGATTACTAATTTCCTGTTAAATGAGAATAACTTCGTAATCTATAATTAGTGAAGTTGACGACAAACGACAACTTGAAAAGTTTTGTAATACAATTTTTTCAAAACAGCATTAAAAAATTTTTTAAAAACTTTAGTAGTAAGTTTAAGATTCTCTATGGTACAATTAAATGGAGTAATAATTTCTCGTGTTTTTTTTTTGTTTTTTTTTGCAATTGGTTTAATAGAGGTAATCCGAGCTAATCATGTGGTATCTAAAAGCTTATGAATAGAGATTACTGTCGATTCTGAAAAAACTTTCCACCTAGTCGGACAGCTAAAGAATGCGTAACGAGTGTGGATATTACCGAAACACAAGGTTCAATTGTAAGTACTCCAACTAAATTAAGGCTAGGGGCGCCACGAGAAATATATGGGGCGATATAAATTCCATCCATATTTGAGCATTTGTTGTTGTAACCTTGACCAATGCATTTTTGCAAACCAAGTCTTACTTTTATTAACACATCACAAATCAGATTGGCAATTATCCACCCCCTTTTTTTTCAGTGTCACCCTGACAGAAAGTGATTTGATATCTTTTTCCAGAGCTCTAAGAAAATTGCCGTTCTCTTGCTCTCCTTGAGTTTGACATGTTACAATAATAGTACAAGACACAGTAAAAAAAATGCATTGCTAGTACAAAAAAAAATGAATATCAAATAAAAAATATAGTCGCCTTGTTTCTTTATGAGAGAAACAATGTTGCATCTAGAATAAAGCGCAATATTTCACGCCACCCGGCTATTTCAGATTCTGAAATAGTACTCTGACTACTTCAAATACAGGGAACTTAATGTTTAAGAAACATTATTGTTGTCCTTCATTAACTTTCATATTCAAAAGTAAGGAGAAAATTAATAATTTCTTCTTTTTAACGTTTACAAAGTTTACTATGCCTACTACGCCTCCACCTAAATATTACATACGAGTTACAAAACCATATATAAACAAACTTTTTTGAAGAAATTGTGGTGTATAAATTCTGATTGATTATTTATAGATACCTGATTCATCCACAATAAATTTTGTTAAGTAAATTTTCCCTTGTAGAGAGCTAGTGATGCTCAATATTACTGCTTCTCTCATAGTTAACAACTTTAATTTTAGTAATACTACCATTCCGAAAAAGATTATTATATTAAATATCAAACATTAAACTTGATAAAAATTTGATATTCAATATCAAAAACTTGATAAATGTTTATCAAACCTTTATCAAAATTAATTAATGTTTAATTTTAAGTTTAAAACCAATTCATTGCAAATGTCAATGTAAATTAATGCACCTTTATGCCATTGATAAATACATTTGATCTCAGACATAGCATAAGTATTTTTACAAGCTATACTAAAGTTTTTGTTTGCACTATTGTTCTCGAATTTATAGAGAAAACATTATATTGATTATACACTATGTCGTAATATGTCGTCGTAATACGTCGTCACTTTTTCTCTCGTAAGTTTTGCTCAACTCTTATTCTTGAAATTAGTATAAGACTAAAATTTACCAAATAAACATAATATTTATTAGTTCAGTCAAGTTGAAAATCACATGTTTCTACAAATAAATAGTTAACAAACTTTTTAAAACTGAAAAACAACCTCAGCTTTCTGCTTTGAAATAACAAATCTATTAAAGTGAAAACCAATTATATTAACACAAAAAATATTATTATTAAATTTTATGAAAAAATTATGGAACATAACACATTTTAAAGGCCAACGATTGGTTTTAATATTTTGTTGCCTTTGGCAACAAGGCTCATAAAAGAATTTCATACTGATATAGAGTGTAGACTCTAAAAAAAATCACAAAGTATATTTTTTTGATATATGATAGACCTTTAATAGATTTTTCTTCGTCTTATGGCGCTCCTAACATCTTGACGCCCGGGACATGTATGCCCCCTTTGCCCCCTTCTTTTTTTCGAGGCATTGTGTGTAACACTTTTGTATGTGTAATAACTGATTTTGATACTTAAATATTTGATGAACATGTAAACTTTTTGAAAAGCTTTACTCAGATTAAAGCAAATTATTTCGCAAACAAAGGAGCAAGATAGTGAGATGTATTGTCTTCTGCTGGCTCCTATAAGAATACAAAAAATTAGTTATATTTTTACATGAACTTGTTGATAGACATTATAAATGCATTGAGTAAACAAATAATTTTTTTGCTTTGTTTTTAGAATTTAAAAAATCTTGCAACTTTTTATCAATTTGAATGATTCAAATGCTTTTTTTTTTTTAAAAATACTTAAAAAAAGATTTTGGTATAAAGAGTAAAATTTAATAAGTTACAATAAATAAAATAAAATTAATAATTTCTGCATAAGTAATGTCAAAACATCATTAACTTAGAAACCAATAGATTTAAAAACATCACTAGATTAGAAATCAGTTGGATGAGACAAATGAGATGAGCATTGTCTTTTCAAATTTGTAATGCTTGCATCAGCAAAATCTTTTTAAAGAAGATTAAAATTTATTAAAAGTTATACATGCTTTACTCTGTAGGAAATTATCCAATGTATTAATTATTAAAAGTTCTGCCGCAAAAACTTTTGAATATGCTAAAGTCTAAAGTACTGGCTATATAGTTGTGGATAGTCTGGGCCATACTACGGTTTATCATTGCAATCCACATTCTATTGGTACGGATCTATTGGGACGACCGATTACATTTAATTCCATTTTATGCTCATTAGAGGTATATGGATGATGACCTCTGACTTTCAACTTTGATCCAATTAGTTTGAAAAATTAGATAAAATTGGATAAAATTATGACTACACGAATAACTAGTCTGGCTAAACAAAACTTTAGAGAAACGCCTAAAATTTTGTTAAAAAAAAAACTTTAAACTCATCAAATTCAACACAAAAGTAAGTACGCGGTCTAAAATTATAAAGTTAAAAAACTTTTACCCACCATTCCAATTTTATTTGTTAAACATTAACAAAAAAAATAGAAATAACAATATTTTTTGTATTTAAAAAACTCTTTACTTCCACATTTCCTATAAAAAAAGTTGATAACAAAAATTTTAATATTCATTAAAAAACTATTTTCAGATTTTTTTGTACCGCGCTCCTTCACCTTCTTTACCAACATCATCATCGTTCTCGACAATGACAACTTTATTTTGAGCCATTCGTTCTTTTCTTTCTTTTCGAAATCTTTCTTCTTCTTCTCTTAAAGCTTGCGTTTCTCTCTCAGTTTTTGTAATAAATTTCTTTTCTCTCATTAATATTCTCGTAAACTCTAAAGAAAAAATTTTTTTTCAACAATATTGCTACAACTAAATACTAATTAAAAACATAATTTGTCTGGCTTTGGTAATCTATAATGGAAACAACTTCATTGTTATCTAGCAATAAAAATGCTACGTTCTATTTTCTTACAATAAAATGTTTTACTTTAGTAATCAATAATCATCATATCAGGTGTTTGAGTGAATGTGTAGACAGTTTGAAAAGCATTTAAAAATTTATCAAAAACCTAGAAGGTTTTAGTTAAGTTTGCAACGTTTACTCAAAAAACGCAATACACTTATTTAAATTTGAAATATTTTTGGCAACCTATAGCGGTATTTCGAAACTTCTTCTTTAAAGATTTTTAAACTCCAGGAGTCTCCATTTTGTAATTTTCTAAAAAAAAGTCTCACGAAATGCCGCTTCTCAAAACTCTCATCTTGCAAATATTATGCTCCCGAATTACAAAATACTCCTTAAACATGTTCGTTATTACTAATTGAAGATCGGCATAAGTCTGTCCCAATCTTCAATTAGCAATGAATATCAATTTCCGAAATTGATATTCATTGGTCATATTTTCTAACACCATCTGACCACTTTGACTATATGTTGGCAATTGGGAAAATAACTTTGTATTCTCTTTCTTCTGAACATGTATAAATAATATTTAAATTTTAGTATTTTATAAGTAAAATTTAATATTTATTAGTAAAAATTATTAAAAAGCCTGTCTAACAAGTATAAAAGTCAAAAACGTTTTATGATAATAAAACATAAAACGTTTTTGATTGAGTTTTATACTTGTTAGACAGGCTTTTTAGTGTACCAATGTCAGAAGGTAGTTGTTAATTAACTTCGCTCCTATAAATTTAAATTAGCTTTTGCCCGTTTCAAGGCAAAATCTTTTCTAATCTATCTAACAAATTAAAGTTACAAAGTTAAATTTGTTATGAGTTATGTTAATACGTTTTTGACTGATTTTAAACATGTTAGACAATTTTTTTTGTTTAATTTAAAATTTATTTTTAATGTTTTTCGGTACATTTTCTGTATATGGTAGATTAGGGTAATTTTGAGCTAGGGTAAATTGATAATTTGTCGCCTTTACGTCCAAATTCCTAACATGCGCTTGGTTATATTATTAAAAAAATCGATGGGTTTTTTATTTTCAAAACTAATTGGTGATATATATATATATATATATATATATATATATATATATATATATATATATATATATATATATATATATATAGTGCCGGATCAAGGGGGGGCTAGGGGGGACTATAGCCTCGGGCCCCGCAAATTTAGGGGCCCCCAAAAATTTTAGAGGACCTTTTTTTTCTTTTTTCTTTAAGTCATTTTTAGGCTCTAGCCCATAAAAAGGCCTCCAAAACCAAAAATAGTCCCCGGGCCCCAAAAACCCGCCACTGTATATATATATATATATATATATATATATATATATATATATATATATATATATATATATATATATATATATATATATATATATATATTATATATATTTGTTAATAAGTTTAACAAAAAAGTCAATGTGCAGGAGAAGATCGGATACGTTCATTTTTAAACTCAAACTCAAACTTATCTTCAAGAAACCAGAACCGACTTTGATCGCACGTGCATTCGGATTTAACAAGGAAAAAGTTGATCGTTTTTTTTGATGCCTCAGAGTCAATTATATTTAATCAGTATGGTAAAATTGTAATCCCACCAAGTCACATCTATAATGCTGATGAAAGTGGCTTTTCAGTTTGTCATACTCCTGGCAAATTGTTGCTCTGAAAGGAAAGAGATCAGTTGGAGCAATAACAAGTTTAGAAAAAGGCAAAACCATTACAGTCTTATGCTGTGTGAGTGCTGTTGGAGTATATGTGCCTCATGATTATTTTTCCTCGTGTACGCATAAAGCCATCTTTTATGGATCAAGCACCCTAAGGAGCACTTGGAGTTGCAACAAAGAATGGTTAGATAAATGAAGAACTGTTTTATATCTGGTTTGACCACTTCTTATAATTTACTCAACCATCAAACTGCAATACGTCAACTTTACTTACATTATGGTCATAGCTGTCATGTAAAGAACATAAAAGTGATATTAAAAGCTCGCAGAAACAATGAGATTATATCAAGTCTTCCAAGTCATTGTACCCATAAAATGTAGCCACTAGATATTTCTTTTTTTAAATCCTTAAGCTCACGATACAATTCAATTGTGCAGTCATGGCATCGCCAACACCCTGGTAGACCAGTAACAGAGGCCGTATTCGGAAATCTGTACAGCACTGCTTATGGTGAGGCTGCTTCAGTGAGTAAAGCTAAGAGCGGATTTCGTAAATCAGGAATTCATCCTTTTAATTGTTTCATTTTCACAGATGAAGATTTTATAGCAGCTGCAGTGACAAATCAAGAACAGAAAACTTCTAACATTATACTCAGTGATTCACGGGAAAAAGTAACAAATGACCAGACCAATCTAACCAAAACACATTCTATTTTAAAACAATGCAGTAGTCCATGTCACTAAAACATTTGGCCAATTGCTTGATAAGTCTGTATCTTTTAATAAAATATCGAGAAAACGAAGATCTGTTCAACATGCTACTATAGTTACCAGTTCACCATATAGATCTGTACTTAAAAGTTCTAAAACAAAAAAGATGTTGAATACAAAAACCTCAGCAAAGTTAGGACATACACAGAAAAAGGAAAATCAATTTACATGTTGCCAGTGAGGTTCCAAGTAAGATTAATAAACCACAAGATGAAATGCTAGAGAACACAGTAAGTCGCTTTTACACACATTTAATTTATAAATATATACTTTTACTTTTTTCAACAGTTTTTTCAAAGATAACACTTTATTTTTTCATAATAATACATAATAAATAAAACAATTAAAAAGTATATATATAATGTTATTTTGATGTTAAATAAATTTTAAGTATTTTAATTTCTAACCTAGCTTTTATTTTAGGATACTTCAACTAATGAAAAAAAAGCAAAAAATGAAAGTGAAAATAGCAGTATCGATCAAACATTTTGTATGATATGTGAAATTTTGTACAATGAGTTCGAAGTGCCATGGAACCAATGTAGTCATTGCAAGAGTTGGTACTGTGAGTTGTGTACTAGAAATCTGTGAATCGTGTACTAGAAAAAAAAAACTAAAATCTGTTATTTTTTTTTGTAGTAATTGTGTATAAAATGTTACTTTTAACAGTTTTATGTTTAGAAAGTTATGTTGTGTTATGTTATTAAACAAATAATTGTTATAAAATATTCTTATTATGATAAACATTTTGTGTTATGGAAAAAGATGTTATAAAAAGGTTTTTTTAATTTCCTTATACTCCACTTAAATACTCAACTACATAGATGCGTAATTCCATTGTTTCGGCTTGTTTTTTTTTTGGGGTATTTGATATTTTTTATCAAATATTTATAAATAAAGTGCTCGTATGTGGTCTGGGTAATATTACCCTGTGGTCTGGGTAATATGAGCACTTTTGTTCTCTTTTTAAAACCTCTGTATTTCTAAAAGTAAATTTCATGTGCCGAAAAATCAAATTAGATCATGAGAAGTGATCCCTAAAGATTGTTTATTCGCTAAAGTATTGGTCACAACATAGTTATTTTTAAAAATATTCTTATTCTCGCTTAAGGTGCTCATAATACCCTAATCTACTCTATAAGTGTAAAGCGTTACACACATATTACATTTGTGCACAAGTAATATACTTTCATAATCAAACACCCCTTTAGTTACGTACCCTCATAGTTACAACTTCCGTCTCCATCAATATCAGATTTAGTTACGTACCCTCATAGTTACAGCTTCCGTCTCCATCAATATCAGATTTAACAATGACTGCATCAACTTCGTCATCTGTCAACTTGTCTCCTAAATTTACCATGATACGACGCAGCTCTGAACATTCTAAAAAACCACTCTGATCTTTATCAAATACCTTTAAAAAAAATTTTTAAATTTTAATAAATCGAAATCAATTATAAAATTAAACAAAAAAATTTTTTTTTAAAAAGTTAAAATGTCATCCAAACTCTTTACCAAAAGTCCAAAAAAAAAAATGAATCTTTGTCAAATACCTTTTATGATTTAACCTTGATTTATCTATGTATTACATATGTATTGTTCTATGTATTACCTATGAATTGTTCTATGTATTACCTATGTATTGTTCTACCTTAATAAAAAAAGGCATCAAAAAGTTTTCATGATCTTTTATATAAAAGAAGATATTAGTATTTTTCTATAAACCTATTTCAAAAATAAAAAGAAAGTTTTGTAAAATTATTATAAACTATTATGTAGTACCTTAAAAAAAGGTATTAGAAATACATTGAGGGCTACCGAATGGTTTGCAACTAAAAGAAGTCTTGGAACTACAAACCAAAAACATGACATATATTTTTACGAAATAAAGTCATATTTTGAAACAATTCAGTTAACTACAACTACATTTTCATCATTTCTGTACGATTTAGTGTAATGAATAAAGTTGAGGCTATGCACCATTTTTTGCCTAACAAATGTCAATATGTTTGTCCATGTAACAAGATACATTTCTTGACTGGTCATCTATTAATCATTTTTTTTACTTTCGATTTAAGCAGAGTAGAAGACTATTTTTTATAATTTAACAAATGAAACGTGTACACGTTTCATTTGTTAAATTATAAAAAATAGTCTTCTACTCTGTACACGTGTATACGCTAACAATAAATAACACAGTTAACCCACCGTGTTATTTTAGTTTCCTCTGTGCCGCATAATTTGTTCGTCCGTTTTTGATTGCGAGGCGAAATCTGGCTCGTAAAATTTAAAAGTTCACTAAAAATAAATTTGTTGTTAAAGTACATCTTATTTCTTAGTTTTCTTCGATGTATAAAATATAGTCGGAAAAAAATGCCTGACAAAATTGTACAAAATAACGAAAAAGTTTCCACTCGTTTCCAAAGTATAAGCAAAAATGATTAACTAAAAGCTAAAATAAGTTATTTATCTTATTTAAACTGAAAATTTAAATAAGATAAATAAAATTTCTTGTTTCACAATTTATTTAAAAAAACATGCGGAAAAATATATATGTATATGGGCAATACACGGTTTTCGAAATTCAACTTTTGTTATGCAAAATATACATACTGGAATGTACAGAAACAGATAATCGCAGTGAAAAACAGGCAAAACATCCAATTAAAATGAGTAACAATGAAGATTTAGTACTCCAAAAACAATCTATATGTATATATGTATATATATATATATATATATATATATATATATATATATATATATATATATATATATATATATATATATATATATATATATATATATATATATATATATATATATATATATATATATATATATATATATATATATATATATATATATATATATATATATATATATATATATATATATATATATACTATATACATATATTTATACTTGGACTAACAAATTTTTGTTTTGGAGCATCGATAAAGTATTATTTCATGATTAAAATCGGAAAGAGCTGCACAAATCACTACAATGTCATTAAGATTATCAAGAAGTGATATTGGAAATTTTTGTCCAATTATTCGAAAAGTTTTCTTTCTCCTAATTATCTGTTCAATGAGAATTCTGAGTTTAGCAATATTACTCCTTTTTACTACTTCTTCAGGTGTCATTTGAGAAGTTCCTCGTTTTCCAGGTGGGGAAATAAAGGTAATCCTATAAGCAGCACACTCACTAGCAATATTAAAACCTTCATCAGCCATGATTGAAGAATAAGGAGGGAATTTTGTAAGATAGTCACAATCCAATGTTATTGCTTTATCTTAGACTTTACATTTGATTTGTATTTTTTAAGTAAAGGCTGTGTGGAGTCAGTATTTATTATACTGTTTCTATTTAGAGGTCGAGAGCTAGGGCACAAAAGAGCAACTTTATACCTAGAATCATATCCAAGGTTCTCAGTGGGATAAGGATTTTTTATATTAGGCTCTTTACCTTTAAAATGATTAGAACAAACTTGTGCATCTTTCTTTGGGCAGAAAGAATCATTTGTCTCAGTAGTGTTTAGGCGGGTAATTAGTCTGATCCAAATTTCACATTGGGAGGGAGATTTTTTGATAGTTGGAAAAGAAAATAAATTAGAAGACGATGCTCAATTACAACCAATATCTTCTTTTCTACATTTATGTTCAGTGCATATTTCATATTTCCATTTCATAAGTCTATAGCGTCCATTTGAACATTTTTTCACAACGCAATGATATGCCATTTTACCAATAACTACTTATTAAAACTAAAGTAAAAATAATAAATCAAAATAGTTAGTGTATTAAGCAGTTTTTATTTCAAAACAATCATTTCAGTTTGCAAAAACATATCAAAATATAAAATCTATTCAAAAAAACAGCTTGATTCTCTTATAAAACGTACCGTTTTTTAAGTTTGTTTACTCGAAATTTTTGTGTGTTTGTTAACATGAGTGGGTTTAACAACTTTTGGGAATTTCGAAAACCGTGTATTCCATTTTTATTCTACGCTACACGCGCAACAACTTTTTTTATTTTATTTTTATTTTTTTATTTTTTTTAGGTGCCCCAAGTAAATCTAACGGTCTGGTCACAAAGCACCGCGGAAGCGCATTTAACCAGAAAGTTCACGTCTCCTTCCCTACCGTGACGCGAAATATGTCCAAAGCTAGTTTCGAACCTGGATCTCCTCCTTATAAAACAATCGCTCTAACCACTGCGCACGGCCACAATTTTATCAAATATTTGCTTATTTCAACTATAAATTAAACTTTTACCTATTTTGTATGAAAGTTTTAAGAATAAAATAGGCTAAAAAGTTTTGAGTCTGGCCAAAAAAGGGCGAACTTGTTACTGAAAATACCACTTAACTTACGTTCCACGGAAAACAAGGTAAAAAAATTGCTTCAACTTTTCGGTCAGATTTTTGCAAATCAGTAAAGCGAATCAGTAAAATCAGTTAAGTTTGTATTAGAAATTTCACAAGAAGTTGAGAATTCTATACCAATTTAAAAAATATATAAAAATTTATTAGAGGTGACCGGCTAAGGAAAAGAAACTGTTTTTTTTGATACTATATATTCAAATAACGTTACCGAGCGATTATTTATAGTGGATTTTTTATATCTATTATTAAGAGTTTCATAACAAAAGAATTGCAAAAGTTTTGAACTTATTAAAAATAATTAACAAAGGAAATTTTAAAAAATTTATATTTAAATCATTTAAATTTTTTTTTTGGACATAAAAACTGCTATCACAGCTTAGGATGGAGAGGGGTTCAGGTATATGTGATTGTTTGTGACAGGAGGGAAGGGGTTAAGAACTTTTTTTTTAAGATTTTTTTTTTTAATGTCTAATTTAGACATCAAAATAATAATAATAATAATAATAATAATAATAATAATAATAATAATAATAATAATAATAATAATAATGTAAATATACATAAAAAAATAAAAATAAGAATTAAATAAATACTTTTATTTAGACTCTAAATAAAAATAATTATTTAATTCTTATTTTTATTTACTTATGTATACTTATATGTCAACCAAAATAAGAAGACATAAACAAATAAAAAAACAATAATTTAAATAATTTTAATTTACATTAAAAAATAAAATAAAAGATTGTTCTTAATTCTTCTAATATAAAAGTATTAGTTATAAACCAACGTGACGAAATAAGAATTACTTAATGACGTAATTAATTTTGATAACGAAAAAACGCCAGAACTTTAGTCGGGCCCGTAGGAACAAAAGTTGTATTGTGGAGGGGGGGGGGGGCAGTACTGGATTAAGGGATCCCGAAATAGTTTTAAGAACCTTTTTTTTTTAATAAATTTTTTCAAAATTATTTATTTTGAGTTATTGGAGGGAGGGGGAGGGGGACAAATGACCCTGCTACATCCCTGGCCTCTTAGTAAATGCGTGTAGTTTTAACTTACGTTACACTAATTCAAAATGAAATGTGTTTTAACTAGGCATCGTTATTCAAAACTTTTAATGTAAAAACGTAACATTTAATATTCTTTCGCATATATTATTAAAAAACTTAAGTTTTTTAACCAAATTTTAGAAAAAACAAAACTTTTTCATGTTTCTAATAACATACGTTACATAAAAATTGCATAACTTTTTTCGTTATTTTCTTGAAATATATATAAATATTATTAAGTATAAAATCTGACCGACAACAATTTGAACATGTAAGCTCCATTTTCGCGCTAAATTAATTCTGATTGTGTAACAAAATTCATGGTTAAAATAAAATTTACTATGGTAAAACCATAAAATTTTACTAAGAAAAACCGTAACTTTCGGAAGCATAAAAATGACTTAAATAAATTAATTTTAGTACTAAAGTTATATTTTAAATAAACTTTCATGTGTCTACATCAATATTCATTTGCTAGAAGCTGACGAAAAAGAGAATAAAATTTGACTACTTTTTTATTTTCCGCCGTGGAATTGCCCATAGGCCGAGTGAATAAAAGAAAGCAATTTCTTTTACTTAGTAATTGGTCAGTTTTACGTGAATAAACTTCAGCAGTTTTACTTGAATAAACTTCAGCAGTTTTGCATAAATTTTTATTCAAGTTAAGCAATTTACTCAGTAATTGCTCAGCTTTACGTGAATAAAAACTTATGGAAAACTGCTGAATTATTTTTTCACGTAAAGCTGACCAATTACTGTGTAAAAGAAATTGCTTTTTTTTTATTCACCCGGCCTTATATATGCAATATTATTTCTTTTTTATGCGATCGAATAGCCGATAAAAGCCTTCAAATTGAATATGGAAACCTTAAAATGATTTTTTTAATTTTTTTTTATATAGTGTTTATTATAAATAAATAATAAATTAATAAAGATAAGAAATTTTTAACTAATTTATTAAAAAATAAATTTTTCTTTTATTATTTATTTTCAATAAAATATTTCCTATTTTAAATCTAGACAAAAATCATGCCCGAAAGTTAAACATTGAACTGGTTAACCTTTGCAGTCCAATAAAACTTTTGCAGTCCAATAAACTTTTGCAGTCCAATTGCAACTTGCACAAGAAAAACAGGCTACATCTGGTACTTTTCAAGTTTACCATTTAAAGAATAACTACCGGAGAACACCGTGAATAATGTATCCAACGGTAAAACTGCTAATTTATGAATTAAAAAAGTATTAACACTTTTTTTTTTTTTTTAGCTTATGAGTTCTTATGTCACACAGACACTTATGTCACACAGTATTTGGAAGAACTAAAAATATATATCTTATTTAAGAAATTTGTGCAACATTTATAATAAAATTTTAATAAAAAATAGAGAAAATTTGTAAAACATAAATATTTTTTTTTAAATCTAAGGTTATGCAGTAAAAAATTTCGAGATTTCAAGAGTTAAAAACGATAACCAAATCAATAGACATATGTTTCATAAGGGATAAGCCACTTAAATTGCCGCCTTCTCTTGACAATTCTAACATGATAGGATTTCCAAAAGAAAAAAGAAAAAAAAGGATTGTCGAGAAAAAAAAAAAAAAAATTGCCAAGGAAAAATATATACATATATTTTTCCTTGGCAATCTTTATATATACATACATTGAGGTTATATAGGATACATTGAGCCAATTGAGGTTTTTTTATCCTCATTTTTCATTCAATCAAATTTTAGACGTAGATGAAAAATGGTAGCTAATATAAGTTTTTCTTTCTTAATTTAACTTCAAAAATGGCTGTTAGAACATTACAAAAAGTACTCAAAATATTTATATGCGGAGAAAATTAACATTCAGTTCAGTAAAAGTACTTATTTTTCGGGAAGTTATTGGGTTTCCAAGCTAATTCTTGTCTATTGTTTGAACAAGTATTATCATTGAATAGTATATAAATGACCAGCGTGTGACAAATTTTGATATTAGCTACTTTTTTGAATGTATCTCTGGAACTAACTCCCTAAATAGTTGTGCACCCAACAATTTTTTAACAACAGTCATTTTTTAAACTCTAAGTTGTTGTTGTCTCAATTTTTCGGATTTTTTTCAAAAGATTGAAGTTCTAGCTAACGAGTTAACGAGCAAACAAGTAATAATTACTTACTTTATTTACTTATACATCATATATTTAACCAAAAATTGGTTTTTAAAATTTTAATTTTAATTTTACATATAATAAAATAATTAAGACTTACTTTAAAAGCTTCAATTACTTCTTCTTCAGTATCGTTAACTTTTAATTGCAGCTGGATTAATGTTAAAAACTCTCGTAAATCCAATGTATCACGATCTATAATATATACAAATACCTAACATCAATCTATATATATATAATATATATATGTATATATATATATATATATATATATATATATATATATATATATATATATACATATATACATATATATATATATATATATATATATATATAAATATATATATATATATATATATATATATATATACATATATATATATATATATATATATATATATATATATATATATATATATATATATATATATATATAGATATAGATATAGATATAGATATAGATATAGATATAGATATAGATATAGATAGATAAGTCTAATGTGATAAGTCCTTACGGTCTTATCACAGAGCACCGTGGAAGAGCATTTAGTAGGAAGTTCACGGCTCTTTCTCAACTGATGTCGCAAAACTTGCCCAGAGGTGGGGTTTGAACCACGTATCTTACATTTCTGAGGCAAGTGCGCTACTACTGCGCCACGGCTTATATATATACAATAAATGTACAACTATATAACATATATACCTAACACCTATTTATCTATATAACATATACCAGACACCTATTCAAAGAGTTAGTTGTAGAATCAACTAACAATTTGGATAAAGAATATTTAATAATAATTTTGGCTACAGAAAATAAACTTCCATTTAGACTAGCTATAAACTAAACAATTAAATTTGAATTTTTTATTACTTTTACGATTTTGTAATTTCTAAAAAAAAAGAAAAAAGAGAAACTTTCAAAAAAGTAACAAAAAATGTAATAAATAAAATACCTCTTATATCTAGTTCATATATTAATTTATTTACTTCTTTCTGAGTATATGTTTCACCCATATCAGTAAAAAATGAGTGAACTTGCTTTGGTGTTATGTAGCCATGTTTTTGAATTATCATCAATGCTGCTCTTATGCCTAAATGAGTTATAAACAGTGAAAAAAAAGCTAATGTTTTGAATTTCATTTTTTTTTTTTTTGTTTTTTTGTTTTGTTTTACATTATATTTTGCTGTTTAATAAATTTGACAATCCTCATAAACTTATAGCTAAATTATGGTCGGAGCTTAAAAAAATGTATAATTTTTTTGTCTTATGACCGTGCACAGTTTATAATTTTTTACAAACTCTTTCAAAGGATATAAAGTATAAAGTAAGAGTTAGATAAATGTTTCCAAAAAAGAGTTGAATAAGATTATATTAATTAATAGATTAAATAAAGTTTTAATAAAGATTAGATTAAACAAAAACAAAACAAAAAAAAAGGGGAAAAATGTGATTTGTGGTAATGATTATTGTCAATAATTTTTTGACTTTTTATTTTTCTTATTTACAGGGAAAATTAAAATAATTACAGAGTAAATTAAAATAATTAGATTTTTTTTTTATTATTGATTTTGTTTTATTGATCTATTTAAAAATAATCACTTATAAAAAAAACAATTTGATTCAGTTTTAAACTGTTATATGCGGACAAAACTTTGAAACAGAAACATTCTTTTTTTCTGTTTTCTTCACATTAAATAAAAGTTAGATGTAGAGAAAACTGTAATTGAACTTTTATTATTTTATTCTTCGTTTCAAAAAAACTTTATCATCTTTGTGAGAATAAAATAAATTTGAATCATCTTAAAATAAAGTTTAATTGCTTAAAAGTATATGTCATTTACATAAAGTAAAATAGTAAAAGTCCCAAAATAGACCCTTTTTTTTTTCCTTTTTTAATGTTGTTTTAGGTGGTCCCAGAAGCACCTAAAACAATGCAAAATCTTCTTGCTCCCAGAAGTCCTTACGGTATGTTACAATCTTCTTGCTCCCAGAACTACAATCTTACAATCTTCTTAATCAATTCTTAAATCAATCTTAAAATCTTATTAACAATCTTACAATCTTACAATCTTCTACAATTTTACAATCTTCTTCTTGCTCTCAGAACTACAATCCTACAATCTTCTTGCTCCCAGTAGTCCTTGCGGTCTTATCACGGATCACCGCGGGAGAGCATTTAACTGGAAGTTCACGCTTCCTTCCTTACCCATATTGCTTATCGGCGTCGAACTCCAGACCTCTGGGTTCTGAGCCAGAACTCTAGCCACTGCGCCACGGCTGCTCAAAAACCTTTAAAAAACTCCAAAAGTGATTCAATTTTTATTTGAACTTTTTTGTTCCTTAGATATGCGTAGCTTCCTGTCAATTGGGTATCCTTTAGACTTTTAGAAAAATTAGGTTTTAATATACTATTTAATAGCATCAAAAACAGGGTTAATTAATACATTAACGCTTATTTGATCAATTATTTTTGTTGTCAACTTCTATTTAAAATTGGTTTGTTTATAATATACTAGATGTTTTAAAATATAAATCAACTTTTTTTTTACCTAATGAAATGCTTGCTGCTAGTTTTAGAAACACGAAAGAGTAATAATTGTTTAATTTTATTCAATAATTGTTTTATTATTAATGAGTTGTCTATAAAATGTTTTTGTGGCAAGACGGTTTTGCAATTTTATTATTACGGTATTTTCGTTGGTTTTTCCTGTCAGTTTTGCTTAATACCTTATTTTTTGATTGCTTTTTAGTTTTGGTTTAGAAAAAAATTATCGTATTTGTAATTAATTTGGTTTTTATAAGTTTTATGTTTTAAATATTTTTTGTATAATTTTATTTTTCTTAATGTCGGATATGTAGGGATTTGATCATCCATGAAATACTGTTGATGTTATTAATAATAGTATTTAAACTTAAGCTATCAGTAATTACGAAAATCAGAAAGTATTAAGTTTGTTTTGGTTTTATACGTTTTAAGGGTAAACATTATATAATCTACTAATGTTGATGAATTTTAACTTTTCAACGGTTCTTGGTGTTCTGCAAGTTTAAATAATACTATTTACAATGTTAAACTCCAATGAACAAAACTGATTTTGATTTTGAATGAAAGTGTTTTTATTGCAAAAAAAATTGGTAACTGAAAGAGGCGTTTCATAAAAACAATTTATAAAACAACATAGAATTCTGGTTACGGATTTTAATTGATAATAAGACATTTTTTCTATACACAATTTTGACATACTAAAAAAAGGTTTTAAATATCACATATAAACAAAATATAAAAAATACCTCCTTCTTGATGTTCATGATTTAAACTATCGAGCTAAAATAAAAATTGCACAACTCGATATGTTAAGTAATTCTATGTCAAATCTACATTTTATTTATTTTAAGAACTATTGCAATTTAAATGCAGTTTCAAAAATAAAGCAGATTAGCATTAAAACTACAAATTTTTCTAAAACTAGTAAATGTAAAAAATTCTTTAAAAAGAACAATTAGTGCACCTGGTAAAGAAGATCGTGTCACGTTAAGAAATTAATTTTGGAAATTTTTTTAAAAAACACTTCATTTCTACAATTTAAAATAAAATAAAAATTAAAAATATTAGTCTATAAAACTGTAGGTTATAAAACTTAAACTTTCATTAATTGTTGTTTAAAAATTTAAAGTGTCCTAAAAATTTAAGGATTTTAATAATCTACTATTTGTTGACGTTAAAAGTAATCTTTTTAAAAATAAGAAATTATAAGTTTATTTGTTTCAGAGTTGATAATGCCGCCCGGCATCAAAGTAGCTTTCTGCCGAAAGGCCGACTTTTTAGGGAGGCGGAAACTGTTGGCGGTGGCTTCCCAATCAATTTTTAGCAGCAAAATGTTCTTTCTTCCGCCTCCAGTAGCTTCTACCCTTCTATTGGCGGCCGCAGCCAGAGTTATTTTTTGGAGGCAAAATGTTTTAAAGGCCGCTGCCATTAGGGAGACAAAAGTCATTGGTGGTCGCCTCTAGAAAAATTGTGGAGGCAGAATCATTTGGAGGCCGCCTCCAATGGCTTTTGCCTCCCAACTGGCTGCGGCCGCCAAATTGGAGGCGGAAATATTTGCCTCCAGCCGGCGGAGTAATTAAAAATAATTTCTCATTTGCTTTAAAGCAATTAAATATTAACTAGAAACAAATGTTATTTGACATCAAGTTTCATTTTGTATGATCATTTGCAAATTTTTTAAGTATTTAAAAAAAATTCTAATTTTTTTTTTAAACTAATAAATTAAGTAGAATAAATTAGAAGTTTTATTATTTAAAACAAAAGTTAAAAGTTGGAAAATTTACTTCCTTGCCATTGGCGTATAAATCTTTTTAACAAAAACCAAAAAAGTTATATTTAGTAATCAAACTATGCAATTAAAAAGTCGACATGCTAAAATTTTTATGTATTTTATCATTTGCCTTAACGTTAAATAGTTATTTTCAATAATTGGATATTGCAAAAGTTATTGAAAGAATACCTGCTAATGTTAATTAAAAATTTGCTAATAGTTTTGTCAAATTTTATCAAAAAAATAAAAGTTATAAAATTTAAATATATATACTTTTATAAATATTATTTATATTTTACTCTATACTTTTAAAACGCTTTAAAATATAAAGTCACTTTTACACGTTTTAAAAGTTTTAAGCGATTAAAGTTTTAAAACGTTTAAAAGTTAAAAATCTATTCGAAAGTCCTTGAAAAACAACCGCTCTGACAAGATTATAATTTTTTCTTTCAAAATTTTTTTTAAATAGTCAATAAATCATATAAAACAAAACTTTGATGTCAAATATTTAACATTTGTTGTCAGTTAATATTTTAATTTCTCATTACCTTAAAAACAAACGTGCAATTTTTTTTCAATACATCCACCGACGGGAGGCAAATGTTTTCGCCTCCAATTTGGCGGCCGCAGACAGCTGGGAGGCAGAAGCTATTGGAGGCGGCCTCCAAATGGTTTGCCTCCAAAAATTTTTCTGGAGGCGGCCACCATTGGCTTCCGCCTCTCTATTGCGTCGGCCTCCAAAACATTTTGCCTCGAAAAAAACTCTGACTGCGACCGCCAATAGAAAGGCGGAGGCAGAATAAAGGAAATTTTGCCGCTAAAAATTAGTTGGGAGGCAGCCGCCGTCTGCTACGGAAGAAAATATTTACGCCGTTTATCAACACTGAGATTGAGGATAATCAACTTTGAAAAACGGCTATTACACAGTAAAATTGCATTTCTAATTAAAAAATATCTAGTTGAAAGCAATAAATATATATCTTGTTCAAAAAAAAAAAATTCTTAACAATGGTCAATTGGTTTACAGTTCAACGGTTTCAAACAATTCAACGGGTAAAATTTCTGGGTTTGGCTCAAACCGTTTGGGGCTTTAGTATACACATCGACTAATGTAAGAAGAACATGTAAAAGAGTGTTGCTTCATCGACTGAGGGTTTGGGTTGCGGAAGCAATATGGTTAGGAGTTAGAAATATTTTCCACACTTTTTTTCGGATTTAATCGTTTGAAAATTTTCGCATTTTTGTATTCCGCATTACCCCATTTTACCCCTGATCTTTAAAATTGAAAAAAAAACAACTTTAATAATTTAAATTGATCAAAATAAATATGAAAAAACATAAAAAAAGGCAAACATAAAAAGAGAATGAACAAAAATTCGTTTAAAGAATTTCTAATAACTTTCTTTTTTATAAATACTAGAATACTAGAAATACTTTTTTACTAAATACCTGCATTTGATCTCCATCCATATAAATTGGCTTAACTTTTGCAATTTTTTTTTTTTGTCTAAAAAGAAATTTTTTTTAGTTGAGGTTTTTTTTACAACTTACTATAGTAAGAAACAAATGTTCAGCAAATAAATAAAACAAACATGTAAAATTAACAATATATACTACAAGAACTAAATAGTAACAACACTAAATGCAATTTGTAAATAAAAGTATTATTTATTTTTATTTTGAAATAACTACTATTAATATAAATTATTATTTGTTTAATTAACTAATATTCAACTATTACTTAAAAAATATATTTGGCAAAACGATTTAAAAGACTAATAAAAAAGCGCAGAAAGTATAAGTATTTTTAAGAAAGTATTTAAAAAAAAAAAAATTATATCATTACTGCAGCTATCCCTTAAACTATTTTCAAAGCAAAAATTAATAAATGGTTGTTTATAAAAAGGACGTAATAGATCATTTTAAAATAAGGTTGTTTGAAGAAGCTTTCGAAAAGACAAAATTATAACAAAATTTAAATTTTTGAATTCTTTTTTTGATAACTTTACGCGAACAATTAAATTTCAAAGAGCTCACAAAAGAAAGTTACGAGATCTCTGATAACAATAAACAATAAAACTAAATAGTTGACAACAAAAACACTTAAACTTTGTTACAACAATTAAAAAGCAGCTAAACAATAACAATTGAAACTGTTAATAACTAAACCTTTTCTCATATAATAATTAATCAAAAGTGCTTCTGTATCAAATAAGAAAACATGCTGCAGAGTCGTGTTTAATAAGTGCTTTAAATTTACTTCTGTTTAAAATTTTTCACTGAAATTTTAGCGGTAATTTAAGAACAAAAAATATCAGATTTATTTACTTTTTGTGAATTCATAATTTACAGTTCTTTCATAATTTACTAATGTTTAAAATTGACGTTATAATTGTTTGGTAAAACCGCATTTAAATATTTTAAATATTTATCCATTCATCATTTCTTTTTTGAAATCAATAATTGAAAGGATTGAAGCGAGTTTTATAAACAACTTTTTTACAGTTTTGTTAGCTCGTAATATTTTTAAAATATGTAAAATTATATACGATTTTTATTTAGATCCATTGCATTTCGATTCAAATTAAAAGTTTTAATTTTAGTTTATAAAACTTTAGTTTTTGTAAAAGTCCGCCCTATCAAAAGCGCTTTTTTTTGTTTTTCCTCCCTCTATTAAATACATATTTTTATATATAAAAAGAATTATTTTATAAAGTAAGTTAGCGCTCGGGAGTAATTCAAAAGTGGCGCTAATAATTTCAATCTTTTTTTATGTATGGAGAAACAGCATCTATGAACATATTTCAATTGGCGCCCAAAAACGTCCAACTCTATAAAGGTTTATCTGTAAGTCTCCCCAAAATTTTGGTTTCCTTTAGGGTTTAGGGAAGGAACAAAAAATTTAAAGGTACTTTAACATTGTTCCTTTGGAAGCAGTTGTTGATGAAGTCTTTTATCCAATTTTCTTATAAATACGTTTTAAAAACTTTTCTTTAGTTTTAAAAATCTTTAGAAAAAAGAAAATTAGTTTTTTACTTATAAAGAGAAATATGTTTATTCATTTTAATTATAGTTAATTACTTTGTATTTTTTTTTTCACATTCTTTTAAATTATATTTACATTAAACAAAGCCTGTTCTGTTAACACTTTATCTTCAAAAATGTGCTTTGAAACTGCAAATGTTAGTTATTTCTGTAGATTTTAGTATTGAAGAAGCAACAACTGTTTAAGTAGGCAAGAAAAATACGGAAAACTATTTATGAAAACGAAAAGGTTTTGCACCTTGTCTAAAATAAAAAGGTTTTCATTTAAAGACTCAGCTTACAGAAGAGAGATCATGTTCTACATTGGCTGTCTGTTTTAAGCAAAAAGTATTAAATTTCCTATTTAGAATATAATATAAAGTAGACCACTTAAGTGATTAGATGAATATAAAAAAAAAACTACTTAAGAGGAAAAAGAATTAGTAATATAGATAAGAATCACCTTGAAGAAGGGTTTACTTAGAAACAAAATACCAATTATATTAACACCAAAGTTTTAAAATTAATAAAACGTAAAAGTTAAATAAATATGTTATAATTCTTTTTAAATTCCTTTAATCGCATCGTTGATGATTAAAAACTTTGTTTTCATTTATTTTCAAATATTATAAAACGTTTATTTAAAAATTTATAATTTCTTACCGAAGATATAGCAAAATAAATATTAAGATATAATATTATATAACATAAGTTATAAGGAAAATTTTTAAAATGTTTTTGAATATCTTTTTAAAATACGATAAGGCGACTTAATTGGGTTAGAATTATTTTGTTCTAAATCTCTGCGTATACATTTTCCTGGAGGTTTTTAAACAATGTGTAGGCTGTTTTTATGTTGTTGTTATTTAAGTAAAGCATATAAGCGATACTAATTTTGTGTTTCTGAACACAACATTTGTATCGGTAAGCATTGCTTATCTGAAATTAAATTGAAGTAGTAAAGAAAATTAAAAAATTTTATGAACAGAAAATAAATGACAAGAGAATAAGAATAAATAAAAAAGTACCTATATTTTTGTTTCAAGTTTTAAAACAAAATTTAGTAAATGTACCCGTACAGGTTTATTTTATCTACTTTGTACGCGAATTTGATTGGTTGTTGGAAATAAAACAAAATAACATTTATAACTATTACTGGCATTTTTTGGGCATTTTATTAGGGCATAAAACAATTTCTTACACTATTTGAACATTAAACAATTGGTAACGCCTGATTTGACATTATTAGAGACTTTTTTTTTAAAATTGCATCAGTTCTTTTTTTTTCAAATTTAGAGATAAAACAAAATAATTTTAACCTGACGACAAAATCAGTTAATGTAACAAAATATTAAATCCAAAATTTGAAATAAGAAGACTGTTCTAGTTCTGCAAAATATGCATGCAGAATTAGAACAATGCTTGTCACCGAGTACTTTTCATTTTTTACGAAATACATTTAAATAATTTAGTCAAAACTTTTTAGGTGATTCTATTTTAGTGATATATGTGGAAAATTTTATTACTATTTATGTTAAAAAACGTCTTAACTTTAAAACCTTTTTTTAACACACAATAAAGATAATAAAAGAGAATGTGTTAAATCTTTTAAACATTTATTCACTGTTGCAATAAGAATTCTATTGTTGATTAAATTTAAAAATCATTTTATATATTTTTTAAATTTATGATTATGTAAAGGTGTTAATTACTTATAATCATTTTAATTTTGTTTATCATGCATTTTAAGTTGATGTTTAAGTTTTATTTTGTTTATCGTGTTAAAGTTTGGAATTAAGATTTTATTTTTGTTTGATAATTTTTTTTTTTTTTACATACTCGCTTCCAACATGGTTGCAAGCAACCACTATAAGAATTGGAAGGTACTGGAAGAGAAAAGATAAAGTTTGTAAAGCAAGATAACGATTGACAGACAATTTAAAAGATTACAATTTATATAAATCAGGAAAGCAAGATGAGGGAAGCGAAATCAAAAAAAAGGTCACAGAAAAAGAATAAGACTTAACTGAACGACAAGTTACACGAGAATAAATGTAAGTAGATGACACAAGAGACGCTAGCTCTTTAGAGCAGTGCTATTATAGTATTTGTAGAAAAGAGAAAGAGAAGCAACATTACGACGATGTGATAATGGTTGAAGATTGGCTGCAAGTGCTGGTTCAACTATGTTTAAAATGCGTTTCTACACCTTTTCTAAAAGAGAACGGGCATTTTTAGAAGATCCGCACCAGCTATGGCAATATTATTCCATGCAAAGACAAATTTAAGATTTATAGAGAAAAAGGAAAGAGTAAGATCCGGAGTAAGAAAGTGTCGAGCACGATAATGAGATACAACCTTATCAGATGCTAATTTTGCAATGAGTTTGATATACGGTTTCCAAGAAAGATCAGAAGTAAAAGTTGATCCTAGAAGATAAAGGGTAGATGAATCATCGAGTACATTACCGTTCATAAATATAGAAAGATCTAAATTATTGCTATAACGATTGGCTGAGTTTTATCTGAATTTTGATGAAACTTTTGATGAACTAGAAACAGCAATCAAATCAATCAAAAAGAATAAGGCCCCAGGTATTGACGACATCGCTGGCAATGTTAAATTTTATGTTTTTTCTCCAATAAAAAGGCCTATTTTTAATATCTTCAGCTCTTCAATCAAAAACGGTATTGTCTCAGACAAATTAAAAATAGAAAAATTGTACCTATATTTAAAGGTAGAGATACATCTGCAATAAGCAATTATAGACTAATCTCAATTCTCAATTCTCTCTGTATTTTCTAAACTTCTTGAAAGAATAATTTACAACATACTGTATAAATATTTAAAAGAACACAAAATTTTAAGTGAAAATCAGATTTCAAAAAAACCGGATTTCAAAAGCAACATTCAACGGAACATGCTATTCTAGATCTCATTAATAACATTACCACTTCCTTTAATGATGAAAAATTTGTATTAGCAGTCTTTATTGATCTTACAAAGGCGTTTGACACAGTAGATCACGCAATACTACTAAAAAAAATGGAAAAATATGGCATAAAAAATACTGTCAACAACCTCCCTAAAGTCTCATCTAAGTTAGATTGCATAATGTTTGTAGACAACACTAATCTCTTTTATTGTTCTTTCTCAAACAGTGACCTCTTTATAACCGCAAACTTAGAACTTATTAAACTTAACACATGGTACAGTGCTAACAAATTGTCATTAAACCTAAACAAAACTAAATACATCTTATTTCACCCCAAACAAAAAAACAAAGCTATCCTATCAATACCAACTTTTAGTATAGACAACACAATTATTGAACAAACTCAATCATCTAAATTTCTTGGTGTGCTTCTTTACGAGAATTTATCATGGAACTCTCACATAAATACCATTAATACAAAAATCTTAAAAAACATTGGTCTACTCTATAAAGCAAAAAAATTTTTATTGTTTAAAAATTTAAAACTTCTTTGTTTTTCCATTATATATAGCTATCTATCATACGTCAATATAGCATTGGCAAGTACCCATAAAACTAGTTTTTTTTTTTTTTGCTATTTAGGTGCCCCAAGAAGTCCTTACGGTCTTGTCACAGAGCACCGCGGAAGTGCATTTAACCAGGAAGTTCACGCTTCCTTCTTTACCGTGACGCAAAATAAGTCAAAGGCTCGTTTCAAACCTGGATCTCCTGCTTATAAAGCAAGCGCTCTACTCACTGCGCCACGGCCGCATATTAAGTTCACTCTATAGACGGCAGAAATTCGCTTCAAGAATTATATTTTATAAAAACAAACTGACTCAGGCAAACCCATTACTAAAACAGATGAATGCTTTAAACATTTACCAAATCAATATATATCAAAATATTTTGCTTATGTTCAAACATAAAATGGGAACTGTTCCAAGTCGATGTATAAATAACTTTTATAAAATTAATATAAATAAATTTAGCACTAGAGCAACTAGAAATTATATAGTACTCTTGAAAAAAAGAAAACTATCCTAATTTTCTATACCATATCGTGGTCTTTACTTGTATAACAAATTAATACCGAAAAATTCCTCCACATCCCTCATGAAAAATATTAATTCCTTAAAAGCTAATCTTAAAAAACTTGTCTTAGATACAAGCATTTATTGGAAATTTTCTAATATTTTATGAGTAATTTAAATATAAAAAATATGTCTAAAAAAATCTAAAACTTAAATATATAAGCAAGTATGAATATATATTTATATGTGTTTATACTTGCTTATATATTTAAGTTTTAGATTTTTGTGTTTTTTAGTTTTTGGTACTTCCGTCATTTTTAAAGAACTCAACTAAAAGCATATATAGTATTGAGTACACTATTTAATACCCCAAGCAATTGCCTGATTACTATTAATAAACCATAAACCGTACAAAGACTCAAATGAGGCCTCAAAAATGCACACCAAAAGTACAAACAGGGACACCATCCATGCGCAGTTAGCACTCTGTTATTTTTCTGCTGTTGATGGAATTTGTTGATAATAAAGTTAGGAATTAAGATAACAAGCATAGACAAAAGTCGTCAAAACCATGGACTTTTTTTTTACCGTTCAAGTAATTTGATAAATCAAACACTTTGATGTTGTACTGAATAGGAATAGCTGAGCCTACAAACTAGTGTTGTTACAACTATTTATAATTTGACTAACATGTTTTTTAAAGCTGATTAAAACATTTTTGAAATTGATTCTAAGTCAATTTAGTAGATATATGGGATTAATTTAATATTTTGAAATAAATTGTAATAAAGATAATTAAACAAGATATTTTCCATTTCTATTTTTCAATATCATATCGTAATATTATAATGGAGTAAAACAATATGAGAGAAGGGCCGCTCAGACAACTGGACAATCTATTCCTAGACTCTAATTAATTAGGTACCGCCTTATACACTAGCAATATATCATTACAATCTTTTTAGAGCTTCACAAATCAGGACCCCGTGCCAGCTTGGAGCAGCCTTGTATGAAAGTATTTTATAAAAATAACAATCATCGAGTAAACAAAAGAAAGAAAAATTGATGAAATACATAATCGAAAGTTTAATTACTTAAATAAAAAGGTTTAATAATGCTTACATACTTTGAATTAATTAAAATTTTAAAAGAGTAAAAAAAAAACTAGATAATAGTTAAAATAGTACATGATATTGTTATTAAATGAACAATCAAATATTAAAAAGTTTATTAAATGAACAATTAAATATTAAAAAGTTTATTCGAATGAAAAGATGTAAGGATTTTAAGAATTTTACTTTAATGAAAGTCCATAGTTGATTAAATCGACGATTCGATTTTTTTTAAGTCAACTAATTTCAACGCCTGACAAAATGACTTTTAGTCGAGTCGATTATCGACTAAATCGATTTTTAGTCGAAGTCGAAAACTACAAACATGATAATACACGATTATGTTATATCAGAAGTCATTTTTTTGCTTTTTTTTTAAAGCTCTCTAAAAGAGAGCTAATAATTATTTTATTTAATTTTACAAGTCTTTTTTCAATTTATTATTGATCTAGAACGGTATATAATTTTTTTTCTTTTCTTTGAAATGATTTTCTAATGAAGCGATTAAAGTTTAATTCTTTTACTTTTTTACTATGTTGCGTAGCCTTTTTTGATTTTTTTTTCTTATTATTATACTTAGATACAAAAAAAAAATTTTCTTTTATTATTTTTAATTATTTATAAAAAGTATTTTGTGCAAAATTAGTAAATTAATTGATTGTAAATATGGGTAAATATTAGAGGTGTACCGGATATTTTTGCCGGATATTGAACTTTTTTAAAGTTCTAAAAGTGTTTATGAAGAAAAAACAAGTCTTGCCAATCTACATTAAATAGTGTACAAGATTTAAAAAAATAAAATCAAGAAAAAATTGGTATAACACAGGTATATGCGTTAAAATATATAAGAAAAAATTGTTTTTACAGCAAACTTTTTAATTACTATTTTCTATACTTTGTCAGCACTAGTGCTTCCAATACCGATACCATTTTTCAATACCGGTATATCGGTACTAAATAATTGTAATACCGGTATTAAACTTTATTTTTAAATTTATCATAATCTAAATAAAATCTAAAGTTAATAGTAGAAATTTTATTGATTCAATCAGCTTATTTATTTTATATCAAAACTACTGACTTTTTCATTTTTCGCTTTTTTCTGCTTTGTAAAATGAGCCCGTAAAAAACATAGGGCGTTCAGAACATCATCTTCAAAAGATCATCTAATTTTGTTGGCTTCACAGTTTTCAAGTAATGGTAGGAATTTTGCAAATATATACAACGATTTCCTCCTTCTTTAAAAACTCCTATTTCAATACATATAATTTTTGATGAATTATTCGAAACATTCAATTTTCCCTTGTTGTTACATTTCTTATTTTTCAAAATTGCAAAGTCAAGCTTTTTTTTCAATGACAAGTTTACAGCGTTGTCCACAGAATCACTATCGGAAAAAACGCTGGTGAAAGGGAGAGGACTATACCCTTTCTGATTGAGCCGATCTTTCAGTCGAGTAATGGTATTTACAATGGCTAATTTGCTATGGTGCTCAAAAGATAGAGCTAGATCCAAATTCTTGTAACGTTGATGTCCCTTGTGCAAAAAATGTTGTATGCTGGAAAAAGAGTACGTTGCTCATTGATTTGTTGCACCAACATAACTTTACAGCTAAATCGATTTCTCAAAGGTTATCTATCATGAAAATGTTGTATCGGCACACAACAGAGTTGCATGATTTTGGCACAATGTTTCCACAGCCAGTTTTACTGGCGCAAGACATAAGTTAACAGCTAATATTGCATCGGACTCATTATTAGTTACCTCAACTTTAGACTCAAGGGCAAAAAGTGACTAGTGAATGCATTTTTTCAATTATACAAAACGTTCGAGTACTGTGTGCAAGCTAACCCAGCTAGTTTTGGATCCAAGTATTAGTGGAATATCTTTATCAAATTTTTCTAACGTGCGTTTTTGAATTTTGATCATTTTTTGTCGGAGAACGGCAAAATAAGAATTTCACAACGGTGCGCACCTTTTTGATTAACGGCTACAAATCATCAGTCAGTTCAATAGAGTCATTCTCTTCACTCATTACAATTTGAAACCCGCCGGAAAAGTCTTCATCATTATTGGTTATGTTTGTGTCATCAGTATTTCCTCGTCACTTTCTCTGTTTTTGCATATTACTTTCAAGTTTTTTTTTGCAGAAATTGACGATTTTTTTGTACAAAATATCTTGAATACCTAGTTGAATCCCATGCCTAATGCACAACTGTTGATCACAGTTACTTAAACGCCCCACTTTCTACATTACCGAAACTTTTCATATTTACGTTAGTGCAAAATTCAAACATGCGTTCTACATTAAAGCGAGTGACGTAATGATAATATTTTAAATTGGTGCTTCATTATTTAATGAAAATGGAATACTTTATACTTCCAGTCACGATCAAACAACGCTTCCGGTAAGAAAAAGATAGCTAGATGACAAAAGACGTGTTTAAATCGTCTAAAACAAGTATTCTACGTATTTTATACGTCTTAAACGCTAGCTGTTCGCTGGCTAGTTGCTAGCTCATTTCCTACCAAACCTAGTGGGAAATGAGCTGGCAACTAGATATTAAGTATAAAGTACGTAGAATACTTGTTTTAGACAATTTAAACACGTCTTTTCTAATCTAGCTATCTTTTTCCTACAGGAAGCGTTGTTGAAAGTTTTAAGTATTTCATTTACTTTAGTGTTTCACGTAAAGAGGGCGATAGCACCTGCTATATCATAAGCCCTCTACATATATTTTTAATACCGGTATTGAGCCAAACCAATACCGGTATTTCGGTACTTAAAAATGTCCGGTAATATCGGTATTCCGGTACTACCGGTATTGTAACCGGTATATACTAGCCAGCACATATCTCATGTCATACAGTTTTTCTCTTGATTTTTTAAAGTAAGATCTTGAATACAATTTATTGTAGACTGGTAAGACTTGTTTTTTTTTTTTTTTATAAACACTTATAGAACTTTAAAAAAGATCCGGCATATCCGGCAAAAATATCCAGTACACCTCTAGTAAATATGATTGGTAATTACCGTGGCATAACAATACATTAAATTAAAATATTTTAATAAAAAAAACCATCAAAAAGCACGAGCACATAGGGCATTTCTTTGAGTAACAACTCCCTCAGCGTAATCCCCTGAAAACTGTCACTTGATGTCAAAATACTGAGCAATATAACAAAATTAAAATATTTTACTGTCAAGGGGAAGGGAACAAAAATTCCAAAATCCTCCCGCTTGACAAAGACGCATAATTATAATTTTACATTTAAAATCCTATACTTATATTTCTCCTTGCAGTCGTTTAGTTCTTTCTTTATCATTTTGAAACATGTTTATTAATCGATCTCCGTGCAAAACTTGTTTTGGTTCTATCGGTCGTTTTCGCAGATGAACTCGAACGGGCAATTTTTTGGAAACTTGATTAAATGCTTCTTTAGCCATAAGTTCATTATCACAGTTGAACTCAAACAACCACTGACCAGCAACCGCTGAAGATGCCCAATAATCTAACTTACCTTTACCTTTGCCCATGCGCGTTCCTAAAGGTTTTTTTGTAAATGGCGACTCTGAAACAATTTTATTTACTTGGCGAGATTTAGTTTTTCTAATTATGGCTACACGAGCTGCTTCCATTGCAGATTCTTTTATATAACCTGTAGTCAAAGCGTATATACCGTAATCCATTGAGTCAACATAGTCGCAATGAATAAATTCTTTAAGTCTCGGCTTTAAATTGATAAATCTTGCTTGCAAGCAACCAAGTAGTAAATTTCGATAAAGTAAATCGGTTGAAGATCGTAAACAGTTAGCTACTTTAATAGAACTATGCACGAACATAATTACTCAAACTAAAATAAAACAATTTAAAACATTTTTATAAACAATAAACTTTTAAGCGAGTAAAGATTATTTTTAAAACTTATTTAAGCGAGTAAAGATTATTTTTAAAATTTGGATGTCAAAAAATTCACAACAATCGTACAAAAATCTGTTACAATTCAAAAAAACTAAATAGAAAGCTTTTCATTAAACAGTTTTTTCGAGCGCTTGATTTCATTTTTAATGTTAACTTTGAGACATAATGCAATAGAGTGATCTGTTTTAAACTTTTATTTTGCTAAACAAAACAAAATTGTTACAAGTGATGAGATTTGATCTAAAAAATTTAAATACCAAAAATAGGAATTTAGCACAAATTTTATTCAAAAATCATTTAGATTCCATTTAGAACCAAAAAAGGTATAACAAAAGAGTAGTTAAAGTTATAGTTCCTTCTTTTTTTCCTGCAAGATTTAGCAAAACGATTAAAAAACAATTACAAATATAAACATATACCACAAAATATTTATATAAATTTATATTGATGGTATTAAAAGGGAGGCATACGTGCCTTTGGGAAAATTTGAATTGATAAACTAAATATCAAAAAGCATAATTAAAGTGAAATAATAAGATCATTATTTCACATGGACAATTATTTAACAATTAAATAACAAAAAATTAAGATTTCATTTGAACTTTTGTTCATTAAAGTACGTACAACTTTATTTTTCAAACTTCACAACTCGAGACGTGGTTCTTATAATAGAAAATTTTATCTTAAAAGTAAAGATTTAAAAGCCATATTCTGTAAGAACCAGACTGTATCAAATACTAAAAGCCACGAAATTTTTTTCAGCACATTTACTTTGTATAATAGAATGACAAACACAAAATAATTTATTTCAAGTTTTTGTCGCTTGCTCGTGGTAATTCTTCAAAAATCAAAGTTTTGATTGAACTATTTTGTTTAAATCATTGTACTGGAATATTACCCTTTTCCATGTTTTTTTGTTTGCCATAGCCAGCTACAGGATTCACAAGAAAAACAAAAAATTAAAAATTGCCTGTTGTTGGTGATGTGGTGATGCCATGGTGGCAGACCACAGGTATGTTTTGATATATAAAATAAATTATCTGAAGGAATAACTCTTAACATAGCACACTTTGTTGATAGAGAAATATCAAGAAATGGGTAGAGTTAGAAACAAACATCTGATACATATAAATTTGAAAGTTTCAAAATCTTAATTTTTTGTTGTTCAATGAAGATCTTTTTTAATCCTTCTTAACTTTTTCTTAAATCCATATTCCAACATCGCAGTTAAAACTTTAGTTTTAAAATAACGAAAAAGATTTTTTCTCAAAGTAGTTACCCAAAAATTAGTTAATCCCTGACTAGCATACATCACTATGAAGTATCTATATTTTTTTACAGATATTCTTATACAAAGAAATCAAGCTAGGTCTCAAAAAAAGAAAAATTAAACATTAATTTGAAAAATACTAATGATCGTTTTAAATAAAAATGAAATAACAGATATCTGTAAAATTTATAGTCATTAGAATGTCAGATTGACAATATCTGGAAGATCAACATAAACGTTGTTTTAAATAAAAATGAAATAACTGTAAAATTTATAGTCATTAGAATGTCAGATTGACAATATCTGGAGGATCAACATAAACATTGTAATATCTGAATTTAATAAGTTATTAGAACGCCTGTATTATTTAGAGTGTCATTACTCTACATTGCATTTTATAAATATTTTAAACATTTACCTTGTGTTGAGATCTATCCTAGTGTATAACTGAAAACAGCAGACCAGATTGAATACTATTATTAATAAACATAAAATACTATTACTTATAAACATAAATAAAAAAAAAAGTTTTCAAAAATAAAAAATACAAATTAATTTTTATCTGTTAAAAACAAACCAAGAAACAAAGTTTAATGTCAAATAAAAACTATACATATTAATAATTTCAAAAAACTATTCGAACATTTTTTTTATTTCAAATTACTAGTGATATCCAAAAAATTAAAATTTAATCTCGTAAAAGTTATTTTATAAAGTCTTAGGTATGTTGTCTAAGTTAATTATTAAAAGTCTTGACATAAAAATAACAACTACCATGAGATAAAAAAAAAAAAACAGCTGTTGTAAGGAAAATGACAAAGATTAATATTTATAACATCTATAATCATAATAAAGTAATATATTAATAATATATCAATATTTATAAAGTAATCTAATGAGTGTGGCCTAAAATGAGAAACAAATAATAATAAAAAAATGCAAACAAAAGACTCTAAACAAATACTAGACAAAAAATAAACTTGTAAAGAATTAAATAAAATAAAAATGAATAAAATATATATTTTTTCTTTTTTTTTCTTTGTTTACCATTAGATAAAAATAACAAACAGTTATTGTAAGCAAAAGTCAATGTAGCAGCACTCCTTGCATGTTCTACTTATTTGTCAGTTGATACTATGGATACTAAAAAAAATAAATAAAAATAAAAACAGTAAAAAATATTAAAAAACCAATATATATGCATGTGATAAATATATAAATGCTACTGAATTTAAATACACAAACAAAATATAACTTTTAATAAATCAAAATCGAGAAGAAATATTATATTTTTTAAAAATTTTCTCACAATTTTTACAAAAAAAAACTGTTCAACTTTATCTGCTAAAAATGTTTTTGTTATAAAGTAAACATAACAATATGAAATCTTTAGCTTTAACAAATATACAAGTGTGGACTTTAAAACCAATTCATAAAAAACTTGCTTTTCATTATACTAATTATTTTCCACCTTAATAACAGCACAATCAAGAAAATATTTAGCATAGACACACAAACATGAAGTAACAAAGAATTTAAAACTAATTTGATACAAGTAATCACCACTGAATGTTTAATGCTGTTTTCATTTTTTTGACTGCATGATATTGTGTATGCAAATCACTTTGTGAAAGCTGATTATACAATTCTTTTGTTTTTCTATCATGCAAAGGGTTTACAGGTTTTAGTAAATCATAAGTTGAAGTCACTAATTGAATAAGCGATTTAGCATCATCTACAGTTTCAGCACGAACTTGCCCACCACCATTTAAGCAGCCCAAAGGACAAGCCATAATCTCTACAAAATCATAATTGCATTTTTTTTGTTTTATTTTTTGAACAATTGACTGAATGTTTCTAAAACCATAAGCAAAAGCAAATCTCAACTTGACTTCACCATCTATCTCAAGGATAACTTCTTGAAAATCTTTATTTCGAAGTGGTTTATAAATAATTTGGTCAGGAATAACATTGAATAAAGAATGTGAAGCATGCAAGAAAACATGTTCCAGATATCCACCAGAGCCGCCGCCACGATGACTCAACAATTGATATTGTTCATCAACAAAGCTGTAATCTTCATCAATCAATGATAAAGAAAGACCACAAAAATCAATATTTTTTGTTTGTAGCATATTTTCAACTTCTGAGGAAGTAATAACAAGGTCAACATCTCTCGTATTATATATATCATTATAAAAGTCTGTACGCGAAGCTTCAAGTTTTTTATCGTAGCAAGGCATTATTGTAACATGATAAATTTCATTAGGAGTTTTATTTAACTTCTTACCTAATAGTTGCTTTACAATGCTACCCATGATTTGTTGAGGAGATTTTGTTTGACTAATATAAGGAATTAAGAGCTCTCCATGTGTCTTTTCAGCGTAACATATCCAGCCAGGACATGCTGAAGTTAGCATGATTTTTTTATCATTTTTAAACCTTAAACAAACAGTTCTTGGTTACAAATACTTGTTGCATTAATCACTTTTTAAAAATAATAACTAATAAAAATTTAATACTTTTCTACAAACTCTTTCTGCATTTCCAATAAAGATATACTTCGAGCAAGATTTGTATCGTATATATAGTCACAACCTATATCTTTGAAAAATGTAGTTATTTTTGAATAGGCATCTGATACAGTGACATGGAATTTAACTGCAATAGAAACTAAAGATTGTGGAGACATGGAAATCACAACAATTTTCTTATTTGCCAAAGATAAATTGTCTGCAAGAACTCTAAATATTACAGAAAATAATTTAAAATTTTTATTTAAAAAACTTAATTTTTTTAATTTTAACACTTTGTAAACATGAATTATCATTTACTAACAGAATAGTAATATTTATTCAAAAATAAAAAAAAATTAAAAACAGCATAATATAACTTTTTTTTAAAACATAATAAAATTTCAAAAATACTTTTCTAATTGAAGACAGCTTTGCTCAGCAATAAGTACACTCTCTGCAGATGTAATACATCCACTGCATGCTAAACAATCATTTAATGTTATGTTTGCTTTTTTCAAGCGAACTTGCTCTCCGCTGTTTACATCAACCTAGAAATAAAATTATCAATAAATTCTACACAACTTTAAGTTGTTAATAAATGCGCTCTTGTTAATGAGCTTATGCTGCACACACTGCGGCCTACACTGCGCTTAGCATCTCACAGCCTGCACTCTACACTGCACTTAGCATCTCACCGCCTGCACTCTACACTGCGCTTAGCATCTCACCGCCTGCACTCTACACTGGCGCTTAGCATCTCTATTTTAGAAAAAGAATGCTGAAAAGTTTCAAAAGATTTTTTTATTCAAAAGATTACACAATTTATTATTTTAAAATTGCAATTAATATTCATTCAGACTTGATTCTTTTTTCAAATATTAAAAAAAATACTAAATGTTTACTATTTAGAAAATTTTTGGGAATATCATTTGGAATCTTATTCTTAAAAAAAAAAAACAATTCAAATCATTTATAGTTTTTTCAACAACAAAAAAAACTCCTACATAGCAAACCAAAAAGATTCTTTATAATGTAGGGGAACAAAAAATGAATTCTTAAAATATTTTGATGCTACATATCATTCCTCTTTTTAGTAAGTATAAAAATTTTTCTATAACTTTTATAAAAGCACTATTTTTATTCATGCTTAAAGTAAAGCATTTTGGAAATGTCACAGTCAGACTACTTTCAATTGCGGTTTAGAAATACTAGCAAGTCCACTGTTTTAGGTACTAAAGAAGCATGTTCTCAATCAACCACATGCCCAGCAGTTAAGAAAGCACGTTCTGATGACACTGAAGTGCCAGGTATGCACATATACTTGCACACTATAACAGTATAATTATATCTTCTATCTTTCAGGTTTTAATAGAGTTTTGCCCAAGAAACAAATAAATAAACAAGTTAAAAAGTTCTGATTTAGGTACATTTAGTACAATTAGTAGTTTCTTTAAAAGCAATAAAAAAAAATGCATATAATAATACTAATAATAATCATTAAGGAATACTAAAAAGCATTGTACACAGAAATACTAATAATACCATAAAACAGAGTGGCTATGGGCTATTTTGCACCTTAACGCCTATTGCATGAAAGTCAAAAAAATTATTACCACAAACACCAAGTACTTTTAGAAGTGCTTAGAAAGGATAGTTAAAACTATCTGTCCATTTGAAAATTAATTACCTGAAGTATCTTTTGGGGGGTTTGAATGGTAGGTAAAAGTCACCCCTGTGTTGAGGTTTGGACCTTTGGACCAACTCAGTAAAAAAGGACTAAATGAAGCATTACATCAATAAGTGTTTAGGCAAAGAAAATAAATTTACAAAAATAAAGTGATAAAAAAAGATTTAGTAACAAAGTTCTTGTATACAGTAAATAAAATATAGGTAAAAACTAAAAAAATATAGGTAGGAAGTAAAAAAAAAACAATTTAGGTACAGTGTTATAAAGTAAACAAAAATGACAAAAATAAAGTTTTGAAACAAAATTTAGAGAAAAACTTCTGGAACTGAATAAATTTCCTTTTTCAAAATTTTCTTTGGTTTCTCAATAAAATTGATTATTTCTGACTAGGGTAGAAAAAATTGCTCTGCTGGTAGTGACCATTTTCAGTTAAATTTTTTTTCATAATGGATTTCTGCTCTATTTTTTCTTATTTTTTTCAACTTGCGACCCGAGTGCTTCTTTATTCCACCTCCATTTTAAAAAGTTGGGATAAAATATTAAGTGATCTTATAAAAGTAACAACTATTTATGCAATAAATTTTATTAATAAATATTGAAAATATATTTATAAAAAAAAAAATTAAAAAAAAATCAAAAAATCAAGTTTTATTTTTATTTTTAGATATTAACGTGGAAAAGTTCTTTTAACATTTTAAAATGGAATTGAATAAAATAAGCACTCAGATCACGAACTGCACAAAAGAAATTATTCAATAGTTTAAAATTATTCAGTAGTTAATACATTAAATAATATTAATTATTAAATTAATTAATAATTAGTTATAAAGTTTACTAATTGTTTAGCTAAATGTATATAAATAGTTCAAAATAAATAAACAAACCTGTCCAGGATTTAACTTTTCATTACATTTAAAAAATACGTAATAATTCTCTACAAGATTTAATAATTTTTTCATTAAAGTGAATCATCAAGTGACTTACTTCAATGATCTAAAAAAGATTGGCTTACTAAATCAGCAGTCGAGTCTGAACCTGTATTACGATATGGTAGTCATGAAAGCACTGAAGACTTGTCTAATGGAAAAATTCCATTTTTGCAGAAACCAGCTCTAAGGTTATCATTCCCATGTTCATTTAGGTTGGTAATTAAACAGTCTAAAAGTCTAGGAAATAATCTAGAACAATCTTTAGGAAAAGAAGCAACTCTCCTTCTTTTTCCTTTCTCCTGTTAATCTTCATTGGTCTAAAGTAGGCAACATCTAATGGCTGTGTAAGATGCGTAGAGTTCCCTGGTAATGCCACAAATGCTATGCTATTGCTATGACATGCATCCAATACTGCAATGCTCAAATGTGAAGATACATCATCACCAAAAAAATCTATGAGCCTACTTATATCTTGGAAGAAGTAAAGAAAAACCAGTCTTTAAAACATGTTGAGTCAAATCAACCAACTTTTTGATCTGCAATAATGCGCATTGGTGGCCTATGTTCCATCCATGCATTTCATAATGATTCCGCCCTGTAAACAACATATGGTGGTACCAATTCACCATTAGCATTACCACAAAATATTACAGAGAATGAGGTCTTTGTAGAAATAATGATGCATTAAGGATACTTACATCCACGCTTTGTAATTATTTTTTTTTTACTTGGATCAACCTGGATCAACTGAGTTTGGTTTTGTCATAATTTCGTATATTATCAAGTGATATATTTCTTAACTCATTTGATGAATTTATAAAGTAGTTATCAATCACACTCATTCCTATTTCTCTATTTTTCTTTCTCTTATATTTCACTTGGAAAATTATTTTTTCCACCTCGGAAAACCGAGGTATAACTAATAATTTTCCAAGTTTCCAAATAAATAACTAATAAATTTCCTACAATTAGCTCCTATCATTTAAATACAATACCTTGCAGTACCGAATTTAAACAATTAAAAACGAAAAAATTTGGCTTAAGCCAAATTTTTTGTTTTCAATCACCCTCTAGGGCCAAAACCACCCTCTAGGGCCAAAATCACACTGTTTTACTGTACTCATTAAAGGGAGTCCCGAGACATGTTGTGTTCATATTAACGAGAATGTTAAAAAAAAATGTCTAAGCAAATTTTTTTTGATTAAAACTAATTTATAAATGTATACCAAGAAAAACAGATCTTGTTGTTTTAGTCGAAGCTCGTCTTCTCTATTTTCTGCGGTATTTTGAGTATGTAAAATAAACACGATTTTCCAGGTGCATTATACAGACCTGATAATTTATTCAAGCGCGTTTAATTTATATGAGTTTTAGTGCATGATGTCATATATATATTTTTTTTAAAACACCGATTGTTATTTTTTTAAATGCAAACATTAAAAAGATCAATTTTTATTCATGTTATATTTTGTATATATATATATATATTCATATATAAACATCATTATGATCAACATGATCATCATAATCATCATTGTCATGATCATCATCATTATTACCATCATAATCATCAGGCTTTAGCCTCTTTTATGCTGTTTTTCTAATATAAACAATATAGAGCATTTTCATTTCTTAACTAAAGCTCATTTATACAATATGTAAAAAAGTAAAAATAGTAAACTCCCTATGAAGTACTGTATTACAGGAAAAATTAAAAATAGTAAAACCAGGCAAAGCTATCAACAACAACAAAAAATCAAATTATATAATTAGGGCGTAATGTTTCCTAAACGTTTTAAAATAGTAGGAACATTTAAAAAAATTGAAATCATTTACAAAGACAGTAGGGTTTTTTTAGATATTGTTTTTTGTTTTGTTTTTTTATAAAATTTTTTAATGAAATTGTTTTTAAAATCAGTTCTATTTGCAGTAACATTTGAAACTGTCAACAAAAAAAAGTCTACTGTAACAAAACTTATTCAGCACATATCAACAATGTATGATAAATTCGTTAAACACACATTTGTAAAGAAAAACCAATCAATAATTTTTAAGTAATTGAATGAAGTTTTGATGAATATTTTATTCTAAAATTAAGGTAATCCAAGTTGACTGTGCTGAAATCACAACCCTTGCAGTCTGAAACATTGAGTTAAAAACATTTGCTATGTTTTCTGAATCAACTGACCATACAAATCAAATCACAATCAACTGATCATACAACTGATCTTTTGTTTTGTCACTGAATTTTGTGACACTGAACTGAATGTTTAATTAAAATGTATACTTGCACCCTCTAAATGTGTTTTATATAATAAAATAATACTGGAATTCAAAAATTTTTGATAAAAAAAGTTATTTAAAAGAATATCATGTTGAGTCTCAAAACAAGCAAAAATTTATTAAAAATGTTCAAAAATAATCATCATTTTATAAAAATAATTTTAATAAATTTTTTTTTGCATATTTTTTTTTAGGTAAAAAAATAACATTTATGCCATGGCTTAAACATGTTTTGAAAATTTGAACATTTAAAAAATGTCCTGAAAAAACTTATCTAACTTAAGAGAAAATAAAAAAAAATTAACTGGAACTAAAACACAAAAAATTAACATAATTCTAAAAAACTTTAAATTTTTTTACAAATGTTTTAATAATATGGGAAAACCTTATAAATAAAGTAACAACCATTGTGTGTGTGTCTGTATACATATATATATATATATATATATATATATATATATATATATATATATATATATATATATATATATATATATATATATATATATATATATATATATATATATATATATCAACCCTTGGAATTAGGAAAAATAAGGTCGGCAATAATTTGCCGACCTCAATCTTTTTGAGGTCGGCATCAGGTTGGCAAAAATTATTTGATACAAAGGTCTGACCATAAAACATA